GATCAAAATCTCAATAATTATTTTGGAATCTCACTCTTTTTATTAATGTTACTTTTTTTGCAACAGTTGGAATGAAAACGAAGTTGAAAATAGAAAGAAGGTGGAATGTCTCTGATGTCTATTCTCAGTGGAAAAATGCAAATTTATATTCAGAAATCATAACTATTGACCAATGGTTTAGTTTAACCATCTATTCATAACAAGTCAAAAAACGATTATAAGAATGTCAACTTCAGTATTTTATTTCTTTGTCACGTAGTTTGACAGGGAAAAAGTCACACTTTGATTTTCGTTTCAGTTAAAATAATTCTTCACACCTCAAACAAGACGCACCAATTAATAAACTAATCTGGACTCTAAATCTAAACCCTAGTTTCATCATTAAGCATAGGGTTTTATCATATAATAATAAAATTAAAGTACCTAAATTGTTGATTCCGTCCAACTATTTTGATATTAATCAAACGTAATGAATGATATGAAAAATTTTCTTGTTCAACAAGCTTGAACTTCTAAAAGGTTGTGTACAATTCTGAATTTATGAAGTCAATGCATGTTTTTTCCAAAGTTACAAGGAAAGAAAAAAGTATACGTACGTCATGCATGGTGCAATATTGGAGCCAAGAAAACTAATTTTCAAGTCTATAGCACAAGATTGAATATGGCGACTCTGTAATTAAAAATAGAAGCTTCTTTAGGATGATACTCTTTTTTTTCTCATGTAAAAAATAAGCATAGTAATTACATTATGAATTTTAGGTAGAGATTTCTTCATCTTTGGCTTTTTTTAAAACTTTCTTTGGAATTGTTTATACAATTAATGTTGTAGTTTTCAATGTTCATGCAAAGCCATGGTGGTGACGACAAGAGTTGGGTTAAAGTGTTTTTATGTGGAAATATTATAGCGACAGAACACTGAACATATCTGGTGGTGGAAAAAGTTATGTTTATGTGTGAAACATTAAGTGTTCACTTTTTGTTAATTTAGTTTATTATTTTTATGTGTTTTTTTTAGGATAAGATAGAATGGGTTTAACAATATTAAATGAGTTATTTGGGTAAATTTAGAGTGTCATTATGTCATGCAAAAATTAAAGTATGTTTCCTATCTAATTCAGAATTTATATTCTTGATATCTAGGGTTTAAGCATGGTGGTTGTAAATTATTCACCCAAGACAAAGACAGTGATAATGTAATTTCCATTAAAATAAGGAAATTGATTTTAATAAACTGGTTATTGTTTCAATAATAGAGAAAACAAATTATAATATTCTATCTAAATATAAGAAGAAAATAGTAATCCTCTCTAAAATAAACTTGCCTCTACAATTAATAAGAGTATTTTCGTTTTCTTTTTTTAATTTATGTATCTAAATAAACAGAATACAAAAGAAAGGAAATTTGAACAAATCATTTTCTTATAGTGACAATATAAAACTTGAAATGTCATACTTTATGTAAATTATTCGAAGTATTCCTTGTTAAGCCATTGTAATGATTCATGCAAAAACAGTTTATGGTACATGTCAGTTGTTAATCTATTGTTTTCTTCATTTTCCCTTTAGAACTAAAAAAACACGTTCAAGATTCTTTAATATATAAGTATTTAATAAGTTTGACACAAGTCTTTAATCATTATTTTAACTTAATTAATAATCTCAAGTTAAATTTTGAAAATTATATTATAATTTTTAAATAAATAATTGAAATTTTAGTTAAAGTTATACTAAAATTAGAAATGATAAAACATAATTTCATTTTGATTTGATCTATAAAAAAGGAGTAGAATTACTTACCCATCATAATTAGAACCATCATAATTAGAACGAGTTATATATGATAATTATCGATTATTTTTTTTATATAAATTTTTTTATATGTATTTAAAATATATATATATATATATATTTAATTATATGAATAAATTTTAAGTTTTTATTATTAATTAATATTTTTATTAAATAAATTAAAAAAATATTATATTTATGTGTTAAATAACTAATTATAATCAATAATTTAAATTTAATTAATTATTTTTTATAATTTAAATTATAATATTTTAATATATTTACATATTTTAATAAAATAAAAAAATATAATATTTTTAATCATAATTTTAATATATGAATGCTTTTTTTTAAATTAAACAGATGTGATCTAACCCATTTTATCTTAGTAAAACAATAATAATAATAATAATTTTATATATATTTTATGATAAATTTTCTTTATTTACATTAATATCAATCCCTCTCTCTTCTCTTTCGAATTCTCTTATATACATTTATGTATATATATGGTTTTCTTGTGTAAAAATATGTCATAGCATAATACTATTTGTTATTAATGATAGTTCCATAGAGACAAACTTATATACGTTACTCTTACTCTTATCCCCTTTTAAGTAAAAACATTATTATGGATGTCGAAGTGGGTACTCAAAAACGCTTCTTTGAATAAGTTATAATCATAAACAAAAACTTACGTTATTGTTTTTTTAAGACAAAATTACAATGGCTGCCAAAGTGGATACATCAATTATTTCTTTACAATTGTTTTTTTTTTTCTTACGTGAATTAACCAATGTCCAATTTGTTGACATTTATTATTGATATATTTTGGTAGTATTTACTATTTAGGATATAATGTCGCTGTGGAAGCCAAGTTATGTTGTAAATTATGTTTGCAAGTTGGTGTACAAAGTCAACTTTTTTTTTCTTGGATAAAATTTACACCGTTTTCTGATGTGTGTCTTCTATCGTCATGCTCCATTTTCACATCTCTTCTTCTATTAAGTTTCTTAAGTACCATTATATTGCAAATAATTAACTTCTTATTACATTTTAAAATGAAAACTTCAAAATAGAGTTTTCGGATCAATAAATATTTATATATATTATTTTTATCAATAAATACTTTATTCAGTGTCACGTGATATTATTGTTTAAAATTATATTTGTAAAATAGATATTTAAAATCGATTAAGTAATTTATTCATGTATTGTAATATAATAGTATTTTTAGTCAATATATAATTTATCAGACCTGGAAAATTTATTTCAATAGTATTAAAATGTATTGTGATTCTATATTAAAAATAAGAGATATATAAATTAATTTTTAAAAATTAATTTAATAAGATGAAAATTGTATATAATATTTTTTATATAAAAAATAGATTCTATCATATATATTGTTTTACTTTGAATTTTTTTTTTACCTATTTTAATAAGTTTTTTCATCGAATCATGTCGTATTAATTTTTTTTTCATCACATTTCTTGAACTCAAGAAGAGGTTTTTAATCATTCATTTTAAATATATTTTAACCATTTAAAAACATTCATTAAATAAAATATAATACCAAATACACAAATAATTTTTTTTTTTTTATATTTGTGGGTTTTGAGTCTTTCTCTACGCATTGTACATACGTATTAATGTAGAGAGAGGCGTAGGTGTTCTAGAAGAGGTCTCTACGCGTGGAAATCATGTTTATAAGTGATAAATTTGGAGTAACTATTCACTCTTCTTTCCATCATTTTGTCTTTATGTATTTGTTTTTGGATCTAACATTGCTATTTATTACGCGACACATGCTTGCTTCACATGGATTATTATTATTATTATTATTACATCGATATAACCTCGAAGTAAAAATAAAAAATAACATATACATAGTTTATATAAAGTTCACATGGAATGTTTAAAACCGATGATTCCTAAAGAAACTAAAGCTGCACATAAGAACAAGTCCAAGGGGAGAAAACCAAGATGTCCCACTCACTAAATACAAGACATAACAAACAAATTAGCAGTTATAACCTTTGTCTATGCAATTGTTTTATTTCACCAAAATTTCACAAATCTTCAATATAACATTTAATAATGCTATTAATATTTTATTTTCTATTTTTAAAATTTTAAATTTAGTTATTAATCTTTATTTAGTTGCGAATTAATAAAAAAAAATTCTAGATACAAAAGTTTAAAGTCAATATGCAAACGTTGACCGTTAACCAATAATTATTGTAATACAGGTGGAAGAAAGTGAAATAAAAATATCTAAATATTATTTAATTGACGAAGTTGATGACAAACAATATTAGTATTTTAAATACGTTGGTTATGTATAAATAAAACTTATGTATAAGTTTATTTAAAGTTTTTCATTTTTAAAATGTAATTTTTATAAATTTCAAATTATTATTTTTAATTATATTTGTTTTAGTATGTTTAATGTATAAATGTATCACAAAAATGATTTAAAAGGTGAAATAATGGAAAAATGGCGTTGTTTATGAAAATTGGAACAAATTGACTAATAAATCTTAAATGTATGATGTAAACAAAATCTAGAGATTATTAGTGAATTTATGTCATAAATGAGGGTTTAGATAAATAATTTTGTTGTTTTGGCTTCGCTGGAACATATAACGTGGAGATATTTGAAAAGAAGAAGTAAAGAAGGTATGATATCATTTTAAATAACTAACCAAAAAGCAACAGCTAGTCAATAGTCATGTACCCCAATTGCTGCCATATGCATCATTCACCAAATAAAATAAATAATAATAATAATAAAAAATGAATAGGATAAACCGTTCCTTGCTTTTCAACAAAATAATAAACAATAATAATAAATAAATAAAGTCATATCCCTATTTGTCCCTCTTCTAATCAAATCAAATTCTTCTAGAACACCACCCTATTGCCATTCCCCATTTGCCCTGTCACTCACATTTTACCCAAAACCATGTGCACCCCAATTTCTTCACTCTATAAATCCCAAACCCTCAACCTTTCCATCCCCACAACACAACCTAAACCCAAAGCAACACCATATCCACTCCACAACCTCAATTTTATCTCTCTTAAACCCTTTTTTCGCTTTTCTTCTCAAGATCCTTTCTTTCTGCAATTCCGGTATCTGGGTATTCGTTAATTCACTAATACACTGCAAAAAGTCAATCTTTTCATTTTCACTAAATTTTCTGTGTATGATGGAGTTGATTTCGGGTCTACCAGAGGACGTAGCACGGGGCTGTCTGATTCGAGTGTCGTACCAGCAGTTCTCCACGGTGGCGTCGGTGTGCAGGCTCTGGAAATCGGAGATTCACGCGCCGGAGTTCCACCGTCAACGGCGTAGCACAAAGTACGCTCAGAAGCTCATAACGATTGTTCAGGCACGCGGTGAGCCGGGAACCGGTTCGACCAAGCGCGTCACAAACCCGGTTTACCGTCTCAGCGTTTTCGAACCGGAAACGGGTCACTGGACCGAGCTGCCACCACCGCCCGAGTTTTATTCCGGGTTACCCATGTTCTGTCAGTTAGTGAGTGTCGGGTATGATCTTGTCTTGTTGGGCGGGTTGGACCCGAGTTCGTGGAGAGCATCGAATTCTGTGTTTGTGTACAATTTCTTGTCGGCGAAGTGGCGCCGCGCCGCGGACATGCCGGGTGGGCCCCGAACCTTTTTCGCGTGCGCGTCGGATTCTGAGGGGACGGTTTTTGTCGCCGGCGGACACGACAACGAGAAGAACGCGCTTCGTTCGGCGCTGGCTTATGATGTTAACTCGGACCGGTGGGTTTCGCTTCCCGACATGGCGGCGGAGCGCGACGAGTGCAAGGGCGTTTTCCGCCGCGGGAGGTTCATCGCCGTCGGGGGCTACCCAACGGAGACGCAGGGAAGGTTCGGCACGAGCGCGGAGGCCTTCGATCCTGCCACATGGCGCTGGGTCGAAGTGAAAGAGGACTTCCTGGATTGCGCCACGTGTCCGAGGACGTTTGTGAACGGTGGAGATGACGAGGCGGTGTTCTTGTGCAGCGGCGGGGACTTAATCTCGCTGCGCGGGGACACGTGGCAGAAGATGGCAACTGTCCCGAGGGAGATACGCAACGTGGCTTACGTTGGGGCGTTGGGTGGGACGCTGGTGTTGATTGGATCTAGCGGCTACGGTGAAGTCCACGTGGCTTTTGGTTTGGATTTGGAGAGCTGCAATTGGAGGAAACTTGAGAGCCCAGAGGGGTTCAGGGGCCATGTTCAAACCGGTTGCGTTTTGGAGATTTAGAATTTTTTCTCTTTTTTTCCATATCAAAACTTGATACATTTACAATTTTACAACATAAACAAACATAGGTATATATATTCTTTTGGTTTTGTAAATTAGCAACATAGCAAAAGAACTGTGTTATAAATTACATAATTAATGTGGGGTGTCGTTTATTTAATGTAAAAAAACATTAATTAAATCATAGAATGAAACCAGAATGAGAGATATAATTAGGGTAAATTTTGAAAAAGTATTGTTGTAGATTGAAAAGTTAATATAAATTTAGAAGGTCTTTTGATTCTTCTTTCTCTTGTTTTCTGCAATTGGTGCATTTTCTGCATTCAATTTTCCATTTTTTTCCGCATTTTGTTGGTTTGGGAAAAGGCCTCAATGCTACGCAATGTTTCGTTATCAATGAATGAATCAATTATGAGGGTCCCCACAATGCAACAAGTTTCAAGTTTTTGTTCTAGAAGGCTTCCATTCCCACACTTGTCTAATTATGCTTCACACTATTCATTCTCTTTATCAACCCACCGTCAAAGCTACGCATCTTAATTTTGTTTTCTCAATTATAGTCTACAAAATTGATGGGAACGAAGTGTAAATAAAAATAGAAAATAATTTTATCTTTTGATGAGTGTGGATGTGGTGGCCATTTTTATAAGTTTGAGTGATCAAATTACAAACAATTAAAATTGGTATTTGTAGAAAATAATTTTTAATTATTACTGTCTATAGTATTTGTAGAAAATATCTTTTGGTTTCTTTCTATCTCCATTAATAATTATTTCCACGGTTTTAATTGTCAAATATTTCATCATACTCTTATCAAACTCAAATCAACTAAAATTGTCATATTTTGATACTTGGTCAAAAATAATCTATCAAAAGACCATACTTTGTAACTTAAAAAAAAAAACACTTTTCCACGTTAAAATCTAAAAATCACAACATTAACAATATAATCTACGTTGGCAAAAAAATATGTCAATGTCAATCTCAACATTAGTTTAACCGTCATAACTATCCAAAGTTGGTGAAAGCTTTGTTACTTTACCGGTAATTCATTAATTGTTTTTAGAGATGCCTATAAATAAGCGTCACTTTGTATTATATTTTGAAGACTTCAATTAGAAAAATAATGAAACAACTAAAAAAGATATATAAAAAAAAAGTGGATAACAACAAGATCTATGAACAACTTGGTTTCTGGGTTTTGAAATAGAAATCATTTCAAAAGTCAAGCTAGTTTTTTTTTTTGCAGAGAGAGGCACAACAATTTCCTTTAAAATGATCTTTCTTGATCAACTGGGCACAAGAAATTGCATCTTGAGTATAAAGAAATTGACACAAGCATTGGATTTGAATCCAATAAAAGAATGAGAGTATCAGTAGCACCAAGGAGTTATTTGGTTCTCATGCACATTACTAGAACCTGTACAAATTTCTCATGCATGTGCTGCTTCAAGAACATCCTCTGCACCTTTTTTCTTCCTTCCGTCCCCATTTTTTCTCTTGCAAACCGGTTTTGAAGCAAAAACAGAAGATGGTGTGCAAGGACATGATTCCCTGTGCGTCCAATAGGATGAAGAAGACCTGTCACATTATGCTCAACAATTTCTTGCGTTCCTCCAGCATCTGTTCCAAGCACCTACAAAAAGAAAAAACTGTCAACATTCGTTTTGACTGTTCAAGAAACTTTGCTCATAGATAGAGACATAAAACCTAGAGATTATCAAGTATCAACTACTTAACTGAATCATAATTCTCAATGTATAATTTATAGTAATTTGGGGTTATTTTTTGGTTTCAAATCACATATACGCTTCACACGAAACAAACCTACTCCAATTAAATTTGAGAGAGTATTATGGACAATAAAATTCTCCTTAAATGTTAATACAAATTGCTTGTTTGACATCAACAATCTAAGGACATTTCCAAACTCACATGTTTATTGACTTTTATATTAATACTATGACGCTTTAACTTCTAGTATAGTGATAAACACTCGATCCAATAACGAGAACATGTTAAAAACTACCAATATTTCTAACGTGAAAGGTGTGGCTTATATCTTTCACGTACAAAAATATACACAAGTGAATGTAAATCCCATATTACAAACTTATTCTATAGAGTTGAGTTAGGATTAATATACACTTTCTAATAAACAATCTACCATGATATGTGATTACAAGACAGGGGAAAGGAAATTGGAGTCATACCGGAAGACCAAATGCCATTGCTTCTATGGTCACCCGTCCAAATGTTTCTCCCAATCCCTACTCACCATTTTTGAAAAAGAAAAAATCGTAAGTATATTTTTTCAAGCAATGTAATAAAAATAGATGCTAGCAGAGTAATGGATGCAGAAAATGTAATACTTATACTAAACAATAATAACAATGGCTTATCCTACTAGGTTGGGGCTAAGATGATAGACTCAATCTGACTTCTGTAGTCACAAGGCCATTACATTCTATTACATGGTAAATATATAAATTAATCATGGTTTACCTGAGAGTTTATGACATAAACATCTGCAGCAGAGTAAAGTGAGGCAACACGTGTCGTGGCTGAGGTCCACAAAACTGACTTTGACAGGTTTGAATGCTGTGCTAAGAATCTTAGAAGACCTTTCACATAATCTACTTTGTTGCTCTTAGATCCCACCGAACCAATGAGAATTTTGAGAGATTGTGGCGTTGTTCCATTGTTGTGGGAGAGCACTTCCTTTCTGTGAACATAATAAAACTATACATAAATAGTGCAATCAATAAATTATACTACACTACACTACCATATAGTTTTAAGATTCATCAAACCTGTTAATATTTATACTTGAGATATTGTTCAAGGCTACAACACTGCTATCCTCCAGCAATTTTCTAAGATGATGTCTTCTAGCCAAGGTATAGAGGTATTCTCCATCATGCGATGAGTTTGGTATTTTCTTATTATCATGTTGCAATGGTTCATCTACTACGATTGATCTTGCTGATTCAAGAAGAAATAGCTGACCCTTCCCACTGTTGATGCTACTCAGAGTCATAACAAGCATATCATTATCAGTCAACCCCATTTCTCTTCGAACTGAATCTCTCAACAACTTCCTCCTCTCATCCATTTTCGCAGCACTGGAGGATGGAGCATTAAGTGCAGAGGGAATGCCTGCCACAAAAGCTAGTTCATCATTGACAGACAATGGAACAAGTGCTGGCTGTAATCTCAGTTTTCTGCCTTCTTCTTCACACCATTTTTGCCATTGCTTAGATTGTGATTCAGAGAGAAAAACCAATGTCTTCACCCTGTGCAATACATCCTTTGCACGATCAAAATACTCTCTTCTGTTTTCCATAATCCACCAAGCAACTTTATTTGCTCCAGCGGGAAAATGTTCAATGTATTGTTCTGGAAATATATAACAGTGTTCAACAACTATAGAGTAACAAGCTCATGATTTTTCACATTATGAACCATCATCACCTGATATATAATTGAAGTTTACAGAATTTTAGTAGTACAAAATTAAAAAATAAGCGTGATTAAAAGGCTAAAACTTATGCTCATATGAAAAAGGCTACGCTTGAGTAAATAGATTGCATAACAAGGTAAAAAGTAAAAGTCCTATGCCAAAAATTTTAGAATTAGTATGACGATTTGCAATTAAGGCTCTGGCATTTTAGTATCTTTCACACAGCAAAATAAGGTCTTCAAAAATTCATTATTTAAGTATTTAATCTCAGTGGCTCATGTTCTATAACAAGGAGTAACAACTACCAAGCCAAGCATTATGCTGTTGGGCAAGAGCTAGAAATTGATGTTGATTCTGCATCAATATCTGCTTTGTGGTTGAGTTTAAAAAAATATTTACCCGTAAATACATGCACTTTCCAACAGTGAAAACTACAACACCTTCATAAGGAAAAACATAACCAATCTGTTCATACCAATCCATGATGCACAGACAGCTGATCCAGCAATGACAAGATCTGCCTTGTTTGCAGTTTCGAAGCTGAGATATGCCTTGTCATCAAGGACCTTAATTTGTCTCCTAGCAAGTTCTTGCATCAAACCACCCTTCCTGCTAAGCACCACAGCATAAACAGAAGCCTCACAACTCAAGAGATCAGTCGCCAACTCCATCATTGAAAGTGGAGCTCCAGTCATGGAAAGCTCATGAAATATCAAAACAAACCTTCTTGACCAAACAAGGCGTGCAAAGTCCCCTTTCCTGTCACAGGTTTCATAACGCCTCTGAGGACTCCATTCCAAGATTCTATCCTCTATTGAACCAAATGGACCAACAAGGAATCCATAGGTAGAATTCCTAAGGGGAATCTCTGGGTCCAGCTCCTCTAAACCACTGCTCTCAAGTTTATGTTTACGCCTCCTCTTACCTCTCAAAGCATGCATTGGTCGCCTTCTCCTTTTCCTTGAGCTAGCTTTAAATTGAGATAGAAAACCATATTCTTTCTTTGCCAAAACCACATCCATTGTTTTGTTCCCAACTTGTTCAATATTAACAGATAAGGAAATGTTTTTGGCAATCAAATCATGATGCTGATTCTGTTCAACATATGAGTTTGTCGTATCACTTGGCCTGCTTTTAAAGTCTGGAAATTCCTCCTTCTTATCAACATGTGCCCACCTGGACTGAACACAAAATCCAAGATAAGCCCAAAGGGTTATCAGAAGCAGCCACAACAGTAACCGGTTGCTCCCGTAGCACTGTACAACACCCTTGCTTTCTCTTCTTGGCGTTAAGGTAGAATGTGGTCGCTGAAATGAAGGAGAATGTTGTGGGCTTGATCTTCCAGATAACGTAGTTTTCACATTGATACCTGATCTTGCTGAAGACTTCTTCTGCTTAGTAAAATTTACATGAACTTCTCCTTTGTTGTTGCTATCCTCCATTAGAAGTAATAGTATCCTTAACTATATATCATTAAAGAAGATTGAGGTCCACTTGTAAATTCATTTCTTTTTCAGGATCATGGCTTTCAGCATTGTTGTTTCTCTCTCCCACACCTATCATATGTAGGAAGTTTAAGTTTTACAAAAGAGAAAAAACACTGAAAGGAAAAATGGTAAAGAAAAGGTGTGTTACAGTTCTTGATGCATTTTTAGTGTTCTTCAACGGTTTAAAGATGTGGTGGTACGCCAAAGATGTGCTTTCAGGGTCAACGACTATTCTTGAATTGCTCCTTCCCCTGAAAAACAGAGTTCAAATGCTGAAAAAACGAAAAGTTGAAGAGAAGAGACAGAGGGTATGAGGTTGACAAAGAACGGATGCACGTGCGTTGCACATGTATGAGGTAGCAAACTCAATTCTCTTTGTGATTAAAGCATAAATAATCTGTCCAAAAAAATTATGTTATATATAACCTATAATTCTTTTTATCTCTAACTTCATATCTTTTTCGTATAAGGAACATTTAGAAAAACAGCATCAAATTAAAAAATAATTTTTGTTGTCTTATTTTGAGAATTAAGAATATTTTCTCATAAATCATTGACTTAATTATTGGAGGGCTCGCAGGTCGCAACAACTTCCATGTGCAAGGTCGGATGTCACATCATAGTATTGGTAAAATGATGATGAAAGTTCTCTCAATTTCTTTATAAAATAATTTACTTATTGGTATATCTTTTTCATTGAATAATTAATAAAAGAGAGTGAAATTGTTCAAACTCGATAATAAAAGAGAGTGAAAGAGCTTTGAGTATAAAGTAGACTGTTTTTAAAATTTCTATTAAAAACATAACATGTTCAATGATAGGACTCGAGTATTTTAAATTTTGTAACGAATCATTTTAATATTCATTTAAAAAAACACAACTAATTCTGGAAAACATATTAAAACAGACACTTGACTCGCGCTCATTGGGTGAACAAAGACAATAATTTATATACAGCGAAATAGACAATTATATACGCCCCACGATTTGCATATTAGTTGACCGACTTTCTTTTGTTTTATACATATAAATTCTTGTAAATGTGCTTTGGTTAATTTAGCAAAACTAGAATTTAATTAAATTTTCAACAGATATAATGTAAACTGAAGGGAGGAAAACTACTAAAATCAATACATTCCCTCTGAAAATGCACGAAAACTCAAGATAGAATGGTAGCAAACAAATGAATCTTCTAAAAAAGGAACAACACATTAACTGTCTCGAAAGCTTATAGCTGATATAAGCACATGGTCAAACCAGATGAATAACAAAAACCACTAAATGAGAAACTTTTCACCCACAATGCAATCAGATGCTGCAAAATGATAATTCTGGCTAATTCTGACTTTTTCTATATCCTTTTAGTTCTAAAGAAGCCTGTCTGTGTTTCACACATTCTTCACTAAGAAACCAACCAAAGAAGAACCTGGAAAAAAACCAGAAATTGTCAGTATTTTGTTGATCACAAGGGTGCAAAGTAAGAGATTTGGCTCCTCTAATATGAGAAACTCACTTTAGAGAGGAAACTAAGTGAATTTTGGTTGTTGATAAAAAAAAGACAGATAATTCAAAATGCGGTAACGAATGATATTACTTTTCTCTAAAGTAAATTGCTCACTTTAAAAGAGTCAAATCCAACAACAACAAAACTAGGAATAATTAATTCATACCTTACAACTTAACAACTACTTCTACAATGGGAACAGCAAGAGCAGGTGCTATATAACTGAAATGTAGAAAATAGGGAAGGGGTAAAAAAATGAAACAGATAAGTAATCCAAGGAAAACGATACCAAGTCTTGTAACCAACAAAAAAATTGAATGAACTCCAGGGATTCAAAATTAGGACAACTCTTAGTTACAATTAAAATATTTTCAAAAGGAACACAAGTTCAGTAGCAACAAGTTACCTAGAAATTATGAAACTTATTGCAGACCAAAATGCTCCAGATTAAAAGCTAGATAGAGATGACAAAGGGCCAGGAGAAAGGCCTGTATTATAACAAAATTTTCAAACTCAGAAATTTGAAGCAATAATAATGATAATAATAATAATAATAACAACAATAATGATGATGAAGACATTAATTAGGAAATAACAAACCTTTATCTGCTTACTTCAAACAAAGTGCACCATATTCACTGACCAAAATTCATCTCTGAATATCTGCATAGAGCATGACAACATTCATTGAAATTAAATATCTAATACATAAACAGAATGTGCATTCCCAACTTCCCCACAAAGCACCCATATAGCATCTAAGGTAAAAAGATTAGTAAAAGAAGCTGCAGTAGTGCAGTTCCATGCCTATGTCTACAAACAATAATAACTAACTATACTTAAAGATGGTTTTGCAATCCAACTTGCCTTCGCGGTTTATTCTGCCTTTGTCCAAACTCTTCACTTGAAGACTCTACATACAGATAAATAAAAAATGATAATGTTAGTAATTGTACCCTTCGGTTGCTAGCCGACCTGAGCCCAGTAACCACGGGCAATGGATAGCATATCAAAGGAAATGGAGCATCAATATTTACCAGATCTCTGTGGTGGCTTCAATTCATTATTAGCTTTGTCAACATTATGTTCCTTGCTGCACAGGTTTGATAACAAAAGAAAATAAAAAAATCAAGAACCTAGTAATAGGATTCAAAAACATTCAAAGTAATTTCACTCTTTACTTATTTAATTACTCAAAGCTACTTTAATTATTAAGTAATATGAAAATATCCCAATGTAACAAAACTTGGCAAACCTTGAAGTACCCATTGCAGAGGTCTGTCCAGATTGGTGACTGCTTGCACCATCAACAGCAAGGTATGGGTATGTAGGCCCTAAAGCTCCTGCAGTACCAGCCAAGACTGGTAGCCTAAACCAAAGTAGGATGGAATTATTATTGTGGGTTCTAATTATAAGGAGTCAAAGGGTTTTTCATTTTTAGGTAAAAAAGGAACTATTTAAAACAAATGAACAAGACACTCTCTTGCGTGATCCCCTTCCAAAATATTTCTGTTATCATGATTCCTTGTCATTGACATAGACTGTTCTCTAGCAATGTAGAGACCGATAAAGAACATCACAAAAGGCACTAAAACATGTGAATTGCCCATTCCCGAAACATTACTCAATACACTGAAATCGGAGATTATATGCATACCATGTCATTTCTGACTTTCCCAAACCAAGTTGAGGCTGAGCAACATATCCAGGGAATGCCATGCCAACAGCAGGAACTCCTATACCACCAGGATGCTGGCCCCCAAATTGCATGACTGCATTCCACCAAAATCCAGTCAAAATTAGAAAATCATTAACAAGCTTAGCAAATTATCAGAAAATAATAACTGCTGAGTCTTGTTCAGAAAGGATTACAAACAAACTAAACGAAAAATGGGTGTTAATACCAAAGCCTTCATGGTCAGTGTATCCATGTTAACAATAAATAAATAAAAATTACTTAATTTCCCACAGAGCACAGCTACAACTTACAACTACTGTCACATGAGAAATAAGAAATTTCATTCCAAAAAGAACTAATCATAGGTACATTGGATCTGAAATTTTCATGAAGTCAGCAATGTGAGTACAAACCTGGCAAGAAGGCAGGGAAGTTTGGATCTCCATGACTAACACCTACATTTCCAGCAGTGCCCATTACCTGTGCACCGCCATAAACAAAAGTTCCCTGTCCTGCACCATGGGAACCTCCCCTCCCCTTCCCAATAAAAGCACCTTTGCCTTTATCTGATTCAGATGCTGAATCCATTTCTCCGGAATCATGTGAATTAATTGCCTTGGATGTTTTGGGGGGGGATGACAACTGAGACCCACTGCCAGGTCTATGGCCCAACTGTGGGGTAGTAGCTTGCACAGATGTTGAGCTCCTCCCTGGAACAAAACTTGTCTGAATAGCCTGGAATTGTGATGGAGAAACTTTATTATGTGAAGGAGCACGCTGATGATTTGTCTGTACTGGGATTGATACATCCCTGCCAGTCCCAGAAGCCTTTAGGTGAGGAGATTGAGAAGTATTGACTCCAGAAGATCCAGGTGGTGCCTTATGTACATTGTTCAAAGGCTTTCTAACAGATGGAGAGATGGATTCATTAATATACAACTTTGCCATGCTGATGGAATCCACAACATTCTTTCCCCGAACCAGATCATTGTTTAGTTGAACTGGAAAACCCTCATCCATAACAACAGGACCAATGTTCCCGCTACTGCCACCCGTCTGTACCTCCCTCTTTTGTGCCAAATTAATATCATTGTTGGAAGAGCCTGATGGGTAATATGGCGGTGATGATGAATTCAAATTTGAAGCGAACACTTGATTTTTAACAGGCACAGGATCAAATTTTGCATGGGAAGCAGGTGTGGTAGTCCTCTCTGAACCAACATTTGACTTTTTCTCACGAGATTTATGGGATCTAGGAAAACAAAGCAATTCTTATGAGAAAATCTTGACGGTATAGGTCTCATGTTTCCAGCAAATTTTATAAAATGCACCTGTACTTACTGTTTATTTTGCACTTGGGGAGATGGTGCATTGCTTAAATTGGTGCGTTCATACTTTTGGGGGCCTCTTCCTCTCACAACACTCTTAGGCATCTGATTTTGATTGTTACCGTTATTATATCCTTTCCTGCTTCCTCGACCATACCCTCCAAAATCATGACCTCGACCATTACCACGGCCACGATAACTACCCTTAGAAGGTCTCCTCTAGATTTTATACAGAAAGCATAAGATAATAGACCATAAGAAAACTGACAATTGAACTAACAGAAATCACAAAACACTTTAAAGATCATCACCTCCTCGTAGTGCCTTTCGTGCAAAATTTCCTCAAATTTATCATGTCCCCATTTTTTGTCATCTTTGGATTCCCACAGCCTCCTTCCACCACCATGTATCAATCTAAGAGGAAAAAAAAAACTTTAATTAAAACAGATGGACAATATTTACATTGTCCTCAAATCATATAATAAATTGCCATGTACGGTAAAATTGTTGAATTTTGAAAGGAGTTATTTTAAAATCACAACTAACGTGATTCCTAAATGGTTGAGACTAGAGAGTATTGTTATCAGTTTTTCAAAATTAAAATCAAGAGAAAAGACAATGCATTCTATGACTAAGTACAAAGTCGAGTAGGACCACACACGGTGACACCATGATTAAGCTGAAAATATACAACAGTGGTCCTACCCGGATCAACAACGATAATCCAAGTCATGTATTAATGCATCATTACATTGTATGCACATATTCCACAAGGTTATGTTCGGCATAATGAAAAAAATATGAAGAAAACATCACATACCTGCTGCGGGCACCGGCATTGTCCCTAAATCGGTCATCATGCATGTAAAAAGCTCCGGCTGTGGGCACCGCAAATGGTTCAGTCTCCTTTTTCTCCTCAGAATGGTCTTCAACAGAATCTTCCAAAGGGGGCCTAAGATCATCATCAGATTCCTTAACCACTAAACCCTCAACCTCAACCTCAACCCCAACACTTGCACTCTTCTCCTCGTACACTTCTTCTTCAACTGTCTCTTCTTCTTCCAATTCTTCTTCTCCTTCAACGTCATCATCATCATAATCTTCAACACCTCCTTCATCATCTAAGTCAACAGAACGAACCTCTACTCTACGATCTTCCCTCTTATCAGCGACTACTTCCCCTTCGGCTTCCTCGTCGTCGCTTGCTTCGCGCCTCCGCATAGTTAACGGTCTCTTTGCCTCTTCGGGATCACTATCATACTCACCGTTGATTGCTTCAACCGAAGTAGCCATTAACACCGAATGAGCAACACCCGATAAACCCCGACCAAAACCTAGACTTTTCCAAACAGAAACCCCACAAAGCAGAAAACTTATAAAACCACAAATTTCAACAAACACCAATCACTAAAACTCAAAACTGGCATAAGGGGGAAAATTAGTTTATGGAGCGTCGAATAACCAATAAAAAGCGGAATTTCCCCCTCGATAGTCGAAACCCTATATGAGAAGTTTCTTCAGTGAAATGAAAAGAGCCCAAAAAGGGCAAGGGGAATCTAAGAGAGTTGAAGCGGAACAAGAGTGAATTGGGATGGGTTGCGGGGTTCTACGAAGGCGTGGAAGGATTTGAGTGTGAGCAGAAAGATTTGTAGAGTGGAGTTAAAAGCTTGAAACAGGAGACAGTGTTGGGATTAATGAATTATCTGATTTTATTTGTCGGAAGGCATTTCGGGAATTCAACCTTTATTTCAGATTTGGGATCTCGTGAACCGTCAACTTCTGCCACGTTATATCAACGTATAAATTAAGATCAATGTTAAAAAAATTGGAGTGATCGAATTGCTGAAAAAACAAGACCAATTTACAGTTCATTAATTTTTTTTATCATTTATAAAAATAATAATAATCACCTTCTAGTTTTATATATGTTCATAAAAAAAGTAATTTACTATTCCAAAACAAAATTCATAATTTTGTTGATCGGATTTTATTTTGACTAGTAACTAAAATATTCATAATTTTGTTCTAATCATTTTATGTTTTGTTTTAGTTAATTTTTAATTATATTTTGGTCTTTTTTGTATAAAAAAACAGTTAGATCCTCCAAGTAAGTTAGTTAAGATTCAATTCATGATCATATCCATGAAATATGAAAATTATCAATATATCATTGCTGGACAACCAATATAAAATAACAAACGTTACGAAAATTAAACAAAGATAAAGAAAGGTGATTTATCCAGTATTTGTTAATTCAACTAGGTATTGGTATGTTTTTTACGTACACATTTTAAGTTGATACACAGGCAAATATGTGTGCAAATAAAATCCACTTAATCATTAATTTGAAAATACGATATGTATGGTTATGATCTATTTTAGTTTTAATCGTCAAATAATCCATTACTTTCATGAAAATAAAACTAGAAAGTAATAGAACAGAAATCATAAAATTAACTTTGTGAGTTCAAGGACGAAAGGACTTAGAGACAATAAAATAATTATTGTTGTTTCTTAATTAATAGTTTAACATTGAAATATTTAAAAAAGAACGTTGGTAAAACAAAGGACGCTTTTAGTATTGAGGTCATGACCAGTTGTCGTTACATTATTTTTTGTTGAATTAACTTCATATGATCTCATAGAAAAGAAAAAAAACTTTATATGACTTTTATGACGAAGTAGTAACGACATAATATAGTAAGGAAGGCTGGTAATAAGTTTGGTAATCATTTTCTTTATTTTGCATTTTTAATGTGTCTTTTCTTTTCATATATTTTGATTGCAATTATTTTTAAATTAGTGTAATTTGTTTGCAATTATTAATCTAATAGGTAAAGAATGAAGACAAAAAAAGGTAACTCCGAAAACAGCAATAAAAAATATTGAATTGTGTGTCTTTAGGATTAAACTATATTTGACCCGTATATAGAACAGACAAGAAAAAAAGAAAGGCAGGGACTGTTTTCACTATTCTCTAGTTTGAAGTCTTTTGCCCTCTAAATATACGAGAAAGACAATAAAGTTATAAGCCTACATCTCATCTATGAAGTTCTATCTAATTTAAAAAAAAAAAAAACTAAAATTTATAAATTAATTAATTAGAAATATAAACCTTTAAAATGATCGAATCAATAGTCAAATTGCAACCGATCATATACACGCGAAAACATTGTCAACAAAGTAAAAGATTAAGTGAAGCAGAACAACCTGATAGAAAATTAAATAGAAAATAAGCATTTGGAAGAAATATTCATAATTCTGTATAATAATATGGCATTGGTAGATAAAATTACGCTTGTATGAGATAAAACAGTTTTGTAGTCTCTGAAAAGTTTAAGATAGAAAATAAAATATAACCCATCTTTAGATGTTATCTAAAGCACATCTCTTACACAACAAGTTTAGCATGAATTATACCATGATTGCTCAAGCAACAAAATGTTACAAAATCCCAAGCCAAATTGCCGTACAAAATTATGGAAAAATAGGTGATGAGTTATGAGATTTGGTCACCGTCTACAGAAAATGGACATAATTTTATAATTTCCTCTCTATTTCCCAAATATACAGCCTAGTTGTAATAAATTGTATGATACATTAGAAAGAACAAAACTAGAATTGCAGGGACTGGGGTGATAGTAATGATGGTAAAGAAGCGCTAGTTGTCAAAATGAGAGTTAGATATGGCACTTCGGAAACAATCACCCGAGACAAAGCTTCAATTTTCATACGGCTCCAACCCAATGATTCTATACTGACGGGCTCCCTTATTTTTACCTTACTCTTCGTCTGCCTCATTACCATTGATGAGGACTGCCCCATCAGTAGAATCGGCATCCACTACAACTGCCTCCTCTTGGCTCCCTTCCTCTCCATTTTGTTCCTCGTGTTCATCTGTATAGTGCTCTTCTCCATTTTGTTCAGTCAACTGGGACAAAAAACAACGTAAAACACCAACATCACTGACAATCAATTGGGGTTAGAGGCTATTCTTTCTGTAGCAGCAAAAGGATACAATATTACTTTATGAGAAAACCTTGATAACTTTTGTACGGTGTTACAAGTAATATTTAGTATACCTCATGGATGGAGTTTCCATTCTCAAGAGGCTGATCCCCATCTTCTATCTGCATATTTCTGAAAGCTTCAACGAGGGTGATACGTGATTTATCAGCCTGGTTCACATACTCTGATGCAGGAGGGTAAACGCCTCTAAAATAAACGAACAAAATTAGCACAAAACATTTGTGGAAGAGGTTCAGCACACTATACAGTAATAAATAAATGACCTAGCAAGATACTAGTAAAAAAGTATGCATTTCCCCACTGACCTTGTTTCTGCTACTTTAGATTCAACAGCAAGTGCAACTTGCCAATCATCAAACAAATTAGGATACTCCTCTGGATCAGCCAATGATTCGGCTGCTTTTGAATTAACCTGTCATTATCAAATAAATATAAGAATTTGTGTTTTTAATCACATGCACATGATAAGAATCCCAGGACAGGGCAGGGCAATTGAATGAGAACAGAAGTTCCTACACAATAGGATGTGAACAATAAATGACAGACTGTTCAATTATGTAACTAACTCTCTCTCTCTGTATATATGTATGAATAAAAAATTACCTTACTGAGATCTTTTCTCCAAATTGCCACTATCTCTGGGACTTTGCTTGGGAGATAGGATCGGGCCATTAAAGCAGCCTCTGGAATCCGATTGCTGCGAAAAGCATAAATCAGCTACATACATCAATATGCAGTCTAATTTGATCCTTCCTTTCTCGGTAAAGTAATTTCAGAAACAAGAGATTACAAGAGATTACAACTGTAGAATATTACCTTTCTACCAACAGTTGAAGGCAGTCCTCAAGTTTACCCAACATGAATAAGCAAAGGAACGCAACATTATTCTTCCCTTGCTCTTTAGTAAGAGTTGCAAGTTTTGATATTCCTTCAGCATCCCCTAAAGAGGAATATAGCAGCAACAACCCACTGAAATCCATTGCATATTTTAAACACTCTTCAGCCATTTCTAACTGCAAGAACAGAAAACTCAGTGAGCTGCATAAGAACAAAAAAGATACCCAATACCAATGAGCATCAATATCAATTGCAACCAGAATAAAATAAATATTCAACTTCCCAATCGTGCATCAGAAACAGCATCTTGACGGACCTCTGACACAATTGGGAAATAGGAAGGAGATGGAGTGGAGTGTTCAGAATGGATTGGTATTGGAACGAGTATAAAGGACTAATGCTCTATTTTATGGAAGTTTTAATCAATCAATGGAAGTGCGCGTATTATTAATTGTAATCCTAGGATCTCTTGAATTTGATTAATTCCTTCTTTCATCCCATTGTAATAGTTTCCATAATGATAGGATCTGAAAACAATCAGATGATGAAACAAATATAAAAGATTGGAATTTCTCATTTCTATTCAACAACACATGAATAGTTCGAAGATTCTGACTGATTACTGAATTTTTTTCCCCTGATAAAAGGTTGGTCGATTCCTCTTATTACAGTTGCTGTAAAATGCAACAGAGGAAGATGATGCTTGAACGGGGGTGAGGAGGATGATCAAATCCAGACCCATGTGTGATTTGTTTTCAATGTGACCATGAAACTTTAAACCCAGTAAAGAGGATGTGCAAGACTCGCAACTTCGTTAGACAAAGAACAGAAGCAAGTCAAGCAACATGATACCCATAAGCCAAATTGATATGCAAGAGTATTGATCCATAATATACGAGATCGGGAAAGAGAGAAAAACTAGTAAGCGGTAGCACTTCCCTTGTGCTGCAATAGTGTTGTGTGAAGCAGTAGTAGAAAATTTGGGGTCTGATTGAAACATGACCATTTGCTTTAAACATGAGTGAATCACAACTTTGTTAAGCTGTGTTGAAACAGTGTCCCAAACATATCAGTCAGTATTTTATTTTTCAAAGAAAACAGAATATACTCCCAGCATATCCATGTAGCATACTGTACGAGACTCTACAAGTATAGGCGTAAAATACACATACTACCACAACACTTTGTCAATTTTGGAGAATTTGGGCTTCATAGTTTGGCACTTAATCAAAACCTATGAAACCTCTTAAGCATGGTCATATTAAGCAATATATTTAGGAATGTAATTCAGCCAAATGTTAAAAAAATCACATAAACTCATTTTTAATAGAGAAAGATACCTTTCCAGTAGACATGGCTAATTCTCCCAATTGCTTCCATTTAGACTCACTCTGCACTTCAGTGGCAATACCCTGCAAAAGAATAATGAACATTACTCTTGATATAACCTCGTAAGTCAAACTCATGCACACAAAAAATGCAAAATACTACGAACCCTAATAAAGAATTTTTACAAGTTATTATATATCCATGCAGAAAAATATGAACTTGTGCACTTACCTTAGCAACCTCTAATCTTCCAAGCTGTATGGCTAGATCAAACCTGTAGTCAGGGTCAGTAGCTACTTCAAGAGCATTCTCTATCATCCCTCGTGATTCCAGGAAACGAGCCACACTAGCATAAGAAACAAGTAAAGAATTGCAATTAGGATGTTTGTTAGATCTAAACATCAAACGTTGAAGTGTGGTCCAATTGAACACCAGACGCAGATTAATCAAGGACACCAGCAAACAAATGCATTATATATTCATATAATTATACATTAATTTCTTAAAGAATACAAGCAGTGATAAATATTGAACAAGGATGAAGAATATAGTGAGTCCAGATTGACATCAAATTAGCCAAGTAAAGTATCATCATTAATAAGCAAACAAAGTCTTGAACACGTTAGTGTCAAAGATTCTCCACTTCCATTTATAAGCTGGTTGGCATTTTACTCATGGGATCAGACCAGAACTTTCCTTGCATGTCACAAAAAGCAAAAAAGGGCATGTAGAGCATGATAATTATTGGCATATAGAGTTTCTGATGCTTTGGTAAGTAAATTTCCATAATTTTATAACATATCCTATAATTTCTAAATAATGAAAATAAAAGGCCATTTTTTGTAACAAAGTTACAAAAAGTAACTTATACCTGTTATGATGATCTTCCGGAATTGATGGTAGAATTTCATTGGCTCTTTCCAAATCACCACGCATGACAAGTGTCTTGTACTCAATCAAGCTTAAAAGTAGTGTGTATCCCATAACACTGAGTAAAAAAAAATATCAGGATTACCATAGTGAGAGATTTTGAATGATGCAAACCATTGATCCACTTACTTGAACTCCTTGTCTATCAAATAGACCCTACTTTGGCTGGCAAGATATCCCAACAAGTACATCGGACGGTCCAAATGAAACATTGTAGTTACCTAAATTCATAATGTAATGCATTAAAAGGAATTTTATGATCCTTGTTGTTCAATAAATATATCAAGACAATGAAAAAATTATTATAGCATGTTCAAAAAATAAATATGCAGTTTTTTTAATCTAAAAGGAAAGAGAGATAATACCTCACCACCAACACAATAGTTAAGCCTCCAAGAAGAATTGTTGTAGATAAAACAATCCCCAACCCAGATCCCTGTCCTGACACGCTCATTCATTTCATGTAGGAGCTCAAAGGCATCTTCTACACCTTGCTCCTCTGCAGGGCTTCCACTATCTAAATATGATGCAACAACATCCCGCTGCAATAGTGGATGTTAGAACGTTTACTATGCTTCACCAGTAAAATGCCATTAGAAATTCATTTAACCAAAACTTAGGGGGAAAAAGCAATGTCTTCTAATAGAAAGTCAACAAGTGTAAAAAGGGATCATGTATTTAGAATCCTCACATTGTACTTCAGGATGAAGAATGATGTATCACTAGCAATTGTCACTAGATCGCCACTATCCGCCCAGTAGAGGTTCTGACACAAGAAAATTTGACAATTACAAGAAATAGTAAGAAATAAAAGCAGAATGTTGATGTCACCTCATGTAAGCACTTACCTTAACATTAACATCAATACGACGAATCAACCTGCATTCAGCCCAATCATAAAAGCAGATGAAATCATTTGAGCACATTGCCAATACAGTGCCACCAAAAATTCGTTCAGCTGAAAAAGTTGGTCGGATACTCTTCTTTTCCTGAAATATACAACGTTCATTCCCAATTAAAACTTCCTGAGAGGTAACTTATTTCATTTGAAAGACAAGTCAAATGATGAGAGGTTTTTTGAGTGTGTGAATGTCCAGCAACACAAATAAAAATCAATAACCTCTTATTATTAGCAGCATTGGAAGCATATTTACCAAATATTAGTCATATGAAATGCTCAAGGAAAATTAATTGATAGTTTATTATATGGTCCTTTTTGTTAAAGTAAATCATTGGCAGCCTATCCTTTTAACAAATTATTCAGAATTTGATGGTGGGCACTGTTGTATTCTTCTTCAGACACAGAATAAAAAATTAAGTAACTGAGAGTGAAGCACAACCTGGAAATTTTTGCTGAAAATTTTGACCTTCGAAGTACTTTCTCTTACTGCATATTCCCCATCAGAAGACCAAGCAAATTCCAGGGCCGAACCAAATGATCTATTTCTCCACGCCAAAGCAGTGTATATAATATATTCCCCATCTCCACAAACAACAACAAACCTCCCATTTGGATTGTGCCTTAAACTCTGAGTATAAAAGTAAACAACAAATCAGACACCAGTCATCGCATGAAAAAATAAATTAGTGGTAATAATTAACAAGGGCAGACTATTATTTTGAAGCTCACTTCTTTGAAAAGGTTTGAATACAACAACGGAATACCAAACAGTTTTTGTCATTAACATCTGAATTTGAATGTCAAACATTACACAATAATACCTATATTTAAATAAATAGTCATCCACACAGAATCGTGTGCAAAAGAACCAAGGAGATGATGACCAATTTAATCCTATAAAACAATAGCAAACTTTATGCATACTAAAACAATACAAAGACAAGAAAAAATAAATAAATAAAAAATCAATCAGAAATTTAAAAAAATGTAAAAAAAGTTATGAATAGCAAAAATAAAGAAGTCAGGCCCAGAATTGATATACCAAAACAAAATGTCTGAATTGCTAAATAATGCTGCTCAACGGTTGCATAATGTGAACAGAAATGATAAAAATAGAGATTATAATGCCAAAAGAATGTAACTTAATATCAAAGAAAAGGGATGTTCACTCACTTGTGGATAGAGATCACAGGTGCCCAACTCCTTAACAGCCAATGGTAACCTTTCTCCATCAGCAATCTGATATACATAGTACTTGTGTGTCACTAAAGCAAGTTTTCAACTTTTCTCACATATTAAATGGATAAAAGGGGTTAAATAGAGCCCATACCTCCACTTCTGCTCCTACACTCCTTATATTGACAGTTTGAATTTCATTATGCTTAGCCCAAATTATTTTCCCACTGTTATCCATGCTGGCTACAGGTTCTTCTCGACCAAGTTTGATCATAATAGTACCTTCATCATAGCCTATCACAACCCTTCAAAGAAAGAGGTTTAGGTAGTTTAGGTCATGAAGAATGAGTGAAAAGAGAGGCACTGATTTCTCAAGAGAAGACAAGTAAAAAAATTTCTGCATATGAGGAGAGATTAAAGCAAACAAGATCACAGGAAACACAAGAATAAAAATATTTCGCTAATCAGTAATCTAATCAGGTACAAGAATTTCATTATTGGGGTGAGAATTGACACTAGTGTCCCACACTTCCACTCAATATGATTCAAGGGACAGCAGATATGAGACACAGAAATTACTTTCAAAATTTAATCCAAAAACAGAACTCACCGACGTGAACCCTTGAGGTATCCAATAGCCCAAACTCTTTCAAGGCCATAGTTCAATGTGTTTTCAAGCCTGCATGCACATAAAACCCGATTAAACTTTAAAATTGACTGGAATATATCCATAATCTCAAATGTATAATCTTGGTATAAAATCTTCAAACGTGTAACATGGAAAAAGGTTACAACAAAAAATAAAAATACAAGAATTAAGCATCACTATCCAGTCTTCCTTGTCCAAATTTATGCAATATCTAAATTCTCAAGTGAACATAAAATTTAGACATTCGAATCATGAAAAAATGAGTGACAAAGCAGCAAGTGGAAAACAATATCATAATTTTTGAAAAAAAATCATGCTCATTCTCTATGATAAAAAGGGTAAACCAAAATCAAATTATTCAAATTCCTATGATAGAGTGATGTTGACAAAAAAAAAAAAAAAAAAGGCAAGAACAATGTACCAAATTAAATAAGAAATAATAAAACTCTCAGCTCACTAATTTGTGTAGAACAAAAAACTACCTGTAAGTTGTTGAATGCCAAATGCGCACAGTGCCATCTTCAGAGCCAGTAATGATTATAGGTAATTCAGGATGAAAGCATACCGCAGATACATTGTGTGTGTGACCTTCTAGAGTCTGGACACAACTCTTGGTTTGATAATCCCATACCTGTGTAAAAGGTTTTATTGGCATGATGATTTCTATCCATATATACATATTGGCAACAAAATTAAAAGTAAGATGAAGAAAAAACATGAAAATAGAAAACAAACCTTGGCAGTGTGATCATCAGAACCAGTAATTAGATAAGGTTTGTCACCACCAGTAAAGTAATCGACACAATTCACTCCTTTTTGATGGGCATCCAATGTAAAATTGGGGTCAGGAGAGCCAAGATTCCAAATCTGCAAGTGAAGAGAGCAGTATTAATGCATTACATTTTAATATTTACCATAGGTGTATGGAAATAAACAAAGAAAATGGAGGAAACAACTACCTAGAAGAACACATGTATACCTTTATGGTGCGATCAAGAGATGCACTGGCAAAGGTGTTTGTGTCTTTAGGATTAAATGTCACTTGCATGACATAATGAGAATGTCCCTCAAATATCTGGGTACAGATCCAGCCCTTTTCCCAATCCCAAAGCTTTATGAGCATGTCATCAGATGATGACAACACATACGGAAGGGTAGGATGAACTGCCACACACCGAATGTAGTCTGTATGTGCCTCAAATACTTTAACTTTATCCATTGTGTTGTAATTATATACACGAATAAACATATCATCTGCCCCTGCCACAACCCACTGTTTGCGTGCAATAAACTTAGCTGACCTAACTGCAAAATCAAGCTGTATATGAGAGCCACAAAGAGAATGAAATAAAATGAACCAAGAGGAAGACATACAAACAATGAAATAGACTAAAAACGCTCACACACCTGGTAACTCAGTAGCCTCAAATGACTTAGCCATGGTCTGAAATAAAATAATAAAAAATTAAACTAATTGCACACACAAATCTCCATAGACATTAATGAGAAATATCCATTTGAATAAAGTCTGGTGCAAATTCGAAATATAGGATCATATGTTAGAGGCTGTCTTTCAACACCAACCTATAAATCTATAAATACACTGCACATGGAATGTCAGTCTTTTGAAATTATGATGATAGCAGAGAGGCCATGAAGTGTTTATAAAAAACATATCTCATTCAATATTAGTAGAATACACAAACAACAACATACAGAATGTATAAAACTAAGTACAATAGAGTATTTCTTCTTCTGGGTGTTTTCTCCTTTATTTCCCACAAAAAAAATAAAAAGGTTATAATTCTTCGAAAACATTGATGATCACTTGTTTTAGAGTAAACAGGAGGGGCAAAAAGCTCGTAGCCAATGCTGATAATAACTCTACAAAACCAAACACGTCATCAGACAGCTCAACTAACAAGTGAAAGGGCATCAAGAATATCCAAAAGGAAGGAATTCCACCTAAACTAGTCTTCCCATGTATGGGATATCTACAATATTATTTTTTGTCAAATAGAAGTAGGTAATAATCTTTCATCAACATTTTGAATGGGTATTTTCATCAACCTGGTTGGGATTTGAAAGCTAAACTGCTAAACTTTAATTTTTTTCTACGGTGTATTTGGGTAATCACTTTTTAATAACCTTTTATGTCACAAAAAATTAAGGCATAAATTGGACCATAAAACTATTTGAAACAAAAAATAAAAAACTTATTTAAAAAAGCTTCGCCAAAAACCTAATGAAAATAAGCTAAAATATAGAAGCTCCAAACTGTTCCAAACGGCCACCTTGCAAAGTAGCTTAAGATATATAATCCTAATATTTCAATAGAACGCCAACATTTTTAACATTGCTGTCAATTAATATATATAGTCAGACAGTAGTTTTTTAACAAAAGAAATAAATTATGCAACTGATTTCGATTTTGAGTAGGACATAATACATAGGCCCTATATTTGTGGATTAGCACCTCACTGTATACAGACACCATGCAAAAGATGGTGTCTGACTCAGGTGCCAACACATTTACGAATTCAACATTACATTTCTCAATAGATATACTAAAATATAACAACAAAATACAAGAATCGACATACCTGAGATTGGTGGTTCCAGATACAGACAGTTCCAGAGTATAAACTCGCTAGAATCCTGTATTAATTATAACAACATCACACAATTCAGTGAAACATCCAAATATCTACTATCTACCTATCCCTAATCTCCACAGTAAAAGACTAAAGTAACAGTATTCCCACAAAACAGATACAGCCATACCAACTCACAAACTATCCCTAATTCCTTGTAGAGGTGATACTAGAGAAATACCAAATGGATATTCGTGATGAGTAACAGTTAATAATGCTGGTTACATATGTTTAGCTACATATCCTAAAATAATTCCACAGATAAAATCACAACAACTCAAAGCAAGGCATTACCATGGCTCTGTAGGATGTAGATCCACAGACTTCACTCTCTCTGATCTTTGCGCAAGCTTTCGCTGTTCAGATATTACAAAAATACATAGTTTAAGCAGTCGGAAAGTTATAAACTCCGCTACGCTTGATTGCAGAGAATTCTAAATAACAGAAAACCTCGCCACCAAGCTAATCAAACATTCCTGAGCAAATAAACCTCAAATCAAAAAAACAAAAGAAGAGTACCTTGATTTCGAGTCGGAGAGGCTGCAAAAGTAAGCAAAAAACAAAGAAACAAGTAAAAAGGAGTCAATGCGCAATTCCACAATAGATCGCGCAGGTAATGAAATCGCGAAAACTAAATTAGAGGCTCGAGTTTGAAGTCACGGATACAAAAGCAATTGAAATTCAAATAGGAGTGAGCGTAATAAGAAAACATCAAATCGAAAAGAGTCCGCTCCAGATCTAGGATTGTTGAGAACGGCGAAGCGTTCGTTCGCAAGAGATAAGAGAAGAAGCTCACCATTTCCGAATATTGAAGAAACTAGCTAGCTTTTGTCGCGAGAACTCGTCGGAGATCAACCGATTTCGAAGAGACCAATAGATCAAGATGGAGAGAAAGAGTGAGAGAGGAACGCGACGAGGTTTGCGTCGCAGTGCAGAGTTAAGAGTGCAAATATGATTACAATCGAAGGGGAACAAGGGGAACGGAACGCTGTTTTGCTGTTAAGGCATGGATTTACGAGAATGCCACTGGGAGAGGCGCTCTAGTGTCGTATACGTGATCCGTCGTCGTTCTGTATAGGGATCTACTGGAAATTTAGGACTAAAATGAAACGGAGATGATAAAATGGACGGCCTAGATCAAACGTACCCGGGCATTACTTTATCAGTTTTTGCAATAAAATTATTGGGGATTCTTCCAAATTAGTCCCTGTGATATTTTAGTTTTTGCCACTGTTGTAACAAGTAACATAAAATAAAATGGGATAAAATAACATAAATATTTCTAATAAAATTAAGACGTAACAAGGATATTGGAGTATTTTTTCTTTCATTTTTTACTCGTTGACATGAGTTAAATAATTGACGAATCATACTAAAGTATGAAATGTTAATAATTAACTTTCTATTCATCATGAAATAAATTAATTTAATAATTATTTTCATATGGTACAACTCCGGATTTTGGTAGAGAAATTTGTAATATTTTTATTTGGAAAATATTTCAATTACATCCGATATAAAAAGTTATTTTATTATATAATATTTAATAATTCAAAAATATTAGTAGGTATTTTTAATCAACGCTGATGTTTTTTTTTTTGACGAATTTCTTTAATAATTTACACTTAACATTAATAAAAATTATCTTAATTGACTTTACTCAATTTTTTTAATTATTATCAATCACGATTATTTTGATTGAAATCTATCCCATATAATCAATTTTATTATTAACTTTCGATTGGTGAGGACCGGAAAATTTATAGATTGATATTGGTTAAAAAAAATCAAAATCAATGGTAGAAAGTTTCTTTAATTGACATTGTAGGAAAAAAAATCATCACCAATTTTGGACAAAAATTTAACCCTAGTGAGTCCATTGAAAAATAATATTAGATGTTTACAAAAAATAATTATCTTCAAAAAGACTAATAATAATAAAAAAAACTTGACCAACATTAGTTAAAAATGACACTATTAATATTGGTAAAGATAATCTTGACTAATAATATGAAACACACAATTGATATTAAAAATAAACTCTAACTAACATTGAGAAATAGCATTGGCTTCGGGTTGAAAGAAACCTTTATTGATATTAATTAAAAAGTAATGTTAAGCCAACAAAATTCTAACGTTAACCGAACTAATGTCATTTTGATCTCATCCTAGTTAACAATGTCCTGGTTTCATCTGAATCGGCCATTCCCCAACTTCAATCAAACTGAAACATCCTTGTGTCAATTTTTACTTTTTACGTGAAATTTAAAATTTGTAATAATCAAATTGCTTTATTAAAATTTAAGTTTTTTTATTTATGTATTATCTGAATAATATATTTTTGTTGTATGTTTCAAAGTCTCAATCTTTTTTGTTATTATTTATTCGGATTGTATTTTTCTTTTAATGAACATCGCGTATTACTCAATTAAAAGTCAAGGGACTAATTTTTTTTGGTAGATATTGAACTGTATTTTAGAAAATTAATTTTTCTAAACATATAAGTTTTTATTACATAATTTTAATTTTAATTAACCTGTCCGTATAATTTAAGATCAAAGACAACTCTTGGTAGGAGAAAACCCAAGATATGCCTCGACTAGAAATGTTAAATATAAATCTCTTGAAGTACTAAAATTCATTTGAAAATATAGTTTCTTCAAACATCTTTCTTTCAAAAACAGTATTAAAAACAACTTCTAATTACACATTCAGGTTTAATCTAAACTTTTCATATTGTTGATAACCCAAATAAATGATTGGACACATAAATTGCACATGTAATTTCTAAAAAGCGACGGTCCTGTAGAGATTGATTTCCATGCAATATTGTACAGCACTTTTACTTTTAATTAAAAAAAATGGTTAGCTCTAATTCGATAAATTATCTTTGCCTCCACCTTAATTTGACTATAAGTGATAAAAAAAAAAAACTGTTGTATTAGATTAACAAAATTATACTTAATATCAAACTTAAATTAGCCACTCCCATCTATAATCCTAAAAAATAAAATAAAGCTATAAAGCAGGTAAAATGATACTTAGTAACAAAACTTGGAAATCTTGAATCGCACCATGAGTAGATAGAGATTAGAGACCCTTAATTGATACAGTCCTATCAATCTCCGATTTCACAGTTATTTTGTGGACTAAACAAGTTCATGGGCATGCTAGAAATTGGCATCTCTACATACGGACTATCTGATAGGTAATGTGCATTGTGATTGAAATCGACAGAAGTGAATGTCAAAGGGGAGAGAGATAGAGCCCTGAGACAACAGATTAAGTCAATCGAAATAAGTAACATGTACGCGGGGGAAATCTCATACATATTTTTTGACATACACAATCCCTAACAGACTACTTGTTCTTCAATGCTGCTCATAACAAACTGATGATACAATGAAAAGTGTTAAAATAGAAGGGTAAACTTCTTTACATATATACCTTGTTAATCATATGGAATTTGGATATATGCTGCGTCACAGATAAAAGGAATGTCGGCATACATACCGACAAGAGCACACCTTATGCACTCCAAGACAGTAAAGAGATAACCAAATGATACGGCAGTCCAGAAATGCATTCCCAGTTTACCCCAGTAGAGTGACATTGGCAACCAGCGGCTCACAGTTCCTATAACCTGCAGGGCAATCTCTAATAACATTCCCATCACAACATGAAATCTGAAGAAATGAGGCCATTCTTTTCTCCTCACAATTCCAAGATACGCAACAAAAAAGTATGCCATGAGAAACCAGCTCGGCAGGCTTCCAATTGCCATAAGAAAAGGGTAGGTATAGAATTCAAAGCATTCCAAAAATGGGTGAAGATTATATGCTGTCTCAGCGTACATCCATGTCTCATGAAGGGGCATGAGGTAAGGGAGGCATGCTAATGATCTCCACCACCATTGCGGTTTTTTGGTCATTGGAGGATAACGGAAGCTAGTCGGGACATCCTTCGATGCTCTAGGGACCACATTTGACTTGCGCAACTGAGGTAACACAGGGAAAGTTCGAAAGAGAAGATTTTGACCCTCACTTAAACGTAAGCTTGATGCAGCAAACTTGTTTGAAAAAGTCATTCCTGCCACATAAAAATAAAACGTTTCAGTAAGAAAACAAAATTATCAAGGAAGCCTATTGCATATAGCTGGTAGACTAAAGAGAAACCTCACAAACAAAATTCTAAACATTGAATTCGTACCACTAATTGAATAGTACAACATTTAATAATGATCCACCAAGGCCATTGAGGCCCTTTTGTCTATCAAACATATATTATACTTAAATAGTCCCTGCATTGACAGCACAAAAAGATTTTACATCGTCATTTACCATAAAGCTTCTATGCATGATAAGTTTCTCAACTTTTACCATAACTAACTTGAAATAATCTCTAATATGATATATGAGTAACAAATTTCTAAATATAATATACACACACCCAATCAGGTGTTATTTAAAAGTAACACATTTAATCGTAATACCCCAAGGCCATTATTTGAAGCTCTTTTGCTACTGAACAAAGTATACTTCTAGAGTAAATAGAGCTCACCAACTGTGTCAAGTGCAGCAATTTCGCTAAGTATTAAAATAAATACCTTAAAAATAATCTCTAATATGATTTCTGATTGGTTGACAGTGTAAAAACCTTTTATACTATCCATGCACAGATTTTAAGCTCATACTTTAAAATGTTTCGTCATTTGCAGAGAAGGGGAGATTAAAGAATATTCGCACGTCATGAGCACAACAATTCAAAACAAAATTGTTGTACAATAATCAATGGAAAAGTGAACGAGTTAACGGATAAGTAAAGCATGCCACGTACCTCTAGGCAACGAGGATCTACATTCTAAATTATGTCCCGAAAAGCTCCGGATGTTTGAGGCGGCAACCTTAGCAGGCATTCGCGAAGCACAACGAAAGACAGAGCTACTAGGTATGACATGGTTGCGTACCCTAGAATTCACAGGGGCACACCCCTGGGATACAATGCAACCATTTTGAATCATGGTTGGTCAACTGATCGAAGAAGAAGAAAAACCACGAGAAATTATATAAGATTTAAAAATGACAACCGAAACAGATAATAAATAAATAAATAAATAAATAAACATGAAAAAAAAAAAACCCAACAATATAAACACATCACTTCTTGTGTTGCTTATCCTAAGATTTAAGCCAAGCAACAATCCAAGGATCCTAATCACACTGAAAGATGTTTTAAATGAGATTATGCAGTACCTCGTTGGAATGAAAAAATCGGAGGGAGAAGAAAGATTAGGAAATGGTATAACAGAAAACCAACCTGAGTCCCAGATTCAATTTCCAGCGAGTCCTACTTAGCGACCCCAGTGTTGAGGGAATTTGCCAGGTTCGTGTGTTAGGTTTATCTGCAAGCGTCTCTGCACATGATTTTTCACAAAACTAAGAGATAAAGAACACAGTATGGGTCTCGATTAGGCTGGAGAATATTTTCTGGAGTTCAAGTATGGGCCCGAGCCCAAATAAATCTTGGGCCAATTTAGAAGTGGAGCTTAATAAGTCACATTTCCTAGGTTGATTAGGTTTAGACTAGAATTTAAAATTCAACACTGAGCTAATGCGATTATATATATATATATATATATATATATATATATATATATATATATATATATATATATATATATATATATATATGTGTGTGTGTGTGTGTTTCCCTGTCGTAGATACTTATAAGAGAATAAAATATATATGAAATAAATAAACTTAATTTACACATAGTATTTTAAGAAGCTGATATATTTTGTTATAATTTAGTTTATGTGTAAACTTATTTAAATTTATGAAAAAATAAACTTTTTATAAATATTTATCAATGTTATTAAACAAGGTCAATGTCTTATACTCTTTATTGAATAGTAATAAAATATTGAATTGAGAGGTAGCCCCTGGTTTGAGGTATACCAAAATTGAATCAATCATTGTTACTGGGAAAGTAATAAAGTAGAAGTACAGAAGCATGTATTAGCATATTCCAAGAATAAACTTCTCCACTTTTAACTCGAAGACTATGTGGCCCTTAAGAACCAAGGAATGACCTAAGAGAAGCACTCAACCACCTTAACCAGTTTCCTTCCATATGTTGATCAACAATATATTTTAAAAGCTAAAACATTTGTTGAGGATTAATTTATTAAAAGCTGAGCAACAAAAACAAATAAGATTGCATGTGATTGGTGGGAAGAGAAGTGTTTCCATGAAACATTAATTTTTTCTTTAGTAAAAGGAGAACCTTTGAAAATGGGTTAAACAGAAAGGTTTAGTGGCTCTGGTCCACCATTTTGTTCTCCTTTAGAATTTGCAACTCATCTGATCCATCAATTGTGGTCGTGATACCTTATAAATCTTGCTTAACAATTTTCCTTATCATGTACAATCACTTTCTAAGAAGCAATCAAATACACCTCCCTCTCGCCGCGTATACAACCATGTCTTTTTTCCCTTCAGTTTTTATATTGCTGCTTAGTGTTCCACCCAAGTCAAAATATCTACCTTTAATCTTTGTGTATTAATATATGGAGGATTCATATGCTTATTCAATTTAAAACTGATGGCAAATTTTGGGTCATGTATATATATGATACATATTTAAATGTGTTAGGGTTATTATTTATTAAGCCAAATAATAAAATGATCTGAATAAATTAAAGTTTTGGCTAAAGGCATATGTCATGAAAATATGATTGTGTAGAGACCATAGAGTAATTTCTAATTTGATGAGGGGCCAAATTGAAAATACTAAAACTTAAGTAATTAACCTAATTTTGGTTATATAAAGGGTCATGGTCCCCTTCTGAGAGCACACACACAGAACGTAAGTATCAGTCCCGTTCCTTTCTTTCTATCCCCATCAAGAGAGAAAATCAAGAGGGAAATACAGGTGCTCTTCAGGTGGAAGACCATAAGATCAATATAGTGTTCTACAAAGACATCATCGTTATGGCTAATTCAGGTACGCTTTCGCATTCAGATACGCTTTCGCATTCAGTTTACAGCATGTTTATCAGTATGGGATTATGTTTATGTTTGATCGTTAGAATCAAAATCATGATTATTATTATTATTATTATTATTATTATTATTAATTTTCCAACACAAACTTCATATATATATATATATATATATATATATATATATATAATTAGTCAAATATCATTAAGTTATGATCAGCTCATAATCTTATTCTATTTGAAATTGAGACTAATGATAATTTAAATATTTTTCTTTTTAATTTATTAAAATGTATTTTCTAATAATATTATCGTAACTTAACATTCTCGTACTTAAATAAAATATTATATATATAAACAACATTAAATTTTACTGGAGGACCTGTCATAAAACAGTACGTATAGAATCTTGCAAATTTTCTATGTGTGGATACGTATAAGTTTTAACCTTTTTTTTGGTGGTTCAAATTTCTCTTCCTTTTCAGTAGGTCTAGTGAGTCACCTTCCTCTAAAACATCATTTTTAAAATGAAAACTAAATATTATAAGCAGATGTATTGTACGTAAACTTTGTAAAAACATATATCAAAAGATAGAGAATACATATACATGTATAATATTAAAAAAAAAAAAAAACTGTGTGTAATGTTTGTAAAACTCCGAGTATAAATAATTAATAGTATAATTCTCATCCTTAATTAAAATCTGTGCCTAATTATGGGTGGGATCACGATAATAACTATTGCTGTTCCCTTTATTGGCAGTAATCCAGGTGTAAACTTTTCAATGGTGAATCTTCCAAGTGGGAATATAGAGACCCTCCCATTAATAAAAACAATTAATTTAATTAAATCTAAAAAGAAATAACATCACTATATCAGATTAAATAATTTTCAAACTTTTCTTGTGAGGTTTAAATAAAAAAAATTATAGTATTTGTGGTGATGGTATAACAAAATTAATAATTTTTTTACTAATATAAATAAATTTATTTTGTGGTAAGAAAATAAAAAGAGTTAAAAAATGAAAAAAAGAAGAAGAATAAGATTTCAATATACGTATGAGGATTAACGGTAGGTCCAAATTTGTTGTACCCAATTTAGTGAAAGATGTTTAGCGAGGGTTGATCGTGAAAAAGCAAGCACCCGGTCCCATATAGACCTAATCTTTTGTATAAATAAACAAACTCAGAAATAACAGAGCTTCTAAAACTGTTACTTATTCTGTTAAACGACAAATACTTTGGACGTGAAATCCAATAAAAAAAGACATCATGAGTATTCTGCAACCGTCTCTTAAATCTTAAATGACATCCGTAGAATTTGGAGAATTTGTTCTTGGTTTGAATGTGGTCACATTGTTGGTCGCTAAGGCAATGTTGTTGCTACATTCGCGCGCGATGGTCTTCTCGCACACTTGCCTCATCACGAGACCCAAAAGAAAATTGACTTTTACGTGTTGGTGCTTCTTGGTTGCATGCAAGAGTTTTTTGATTAATTAAAAGCCTCAATGTTTAAGTTTAAACCTCGATTACCCACGAACAAAGCTTCATTTCTTCATTCGGGAAATGGTTTAGTATCCGTTGTAAGTGCAGAGCGGTTTTGGGTAATTTCACTATCTTCCGCAAAGTCAAAATTGTATGTGAACAAGTCTATATACATAAGTTTTCTATAAATAGTTTAGAAGTCAAACAAATAATTAAATTATTCTGATTAATTATTAAAATTTTAATTTCTTTTAAAATTGTAATAATTATAATTATATTTTTGTTGCAACACATTATTAATTTTATTTTCAAATAAGACCAAAATAAATTTTTGTTGATTAAGTATATGAAGATCTTAATAATGTCATAAATTTTTAATTTGATAGATTCTACATTATTATTTAATGAATCAAAATGAGTTTTATTCATTAAACCCGTACCAATTTTTTTAGGTAGTATAATGAAGTCACTAAATTAAATACTTAAGTTATATAAGTATATAAATATTAATACAAATTATATAACATTAATTACGATAAATTATATAAATTACTGATAATGCAATTTACTTTCTAATTCTTCTAAAAACATATACATGATTGTTTCGTAAAAAAATGTTAATTTTTTTTTTTTATATTAATCATTCTTTACTCTACACTTTTATGCAACCCATCGAAACCCTACTAAATGATTCTTAATCCGTTTTTCACTCTAGTTAAGTTGCGCATCACACCAACCAACTTGCTAACACCGTTGCTTTTTGAGAATTTCCAATCATGGTTAAACCACCTTTTTCTTTAGCCTAAGTTAATTGTTTGTCCATCAAAGGTGGTCATGGTGATTAGTGACCACTTCAAATTTTTATATTCAATGTACTTTTAAACATTTGATAGTGTCACTTCCTCATTCTACTATTTTATTTTCACTTTTTAAATCACACAACCTGGTTTCAACTGCTACAGAAGTTAGTGTATAGAAGTGTTGTCTTTTGGCTATGTTATGCTGCTAATAATACATTTTTTTAATTTATGTATGAGATCAATTTGTATATCCATGTCCAATTTAATAGCTTAAAATTTATTTTATATAATTTTAAACTAAACGCATGTTGTGACTAGAAAAAAAAAATGCCACATTTCATTCTAAAAGTTAAAAGAAACAAGTATCCGAATTTAATAGCCAGCTAAAAAAATTAATAACTAATTGAAATTTGATCAGTTGATTAACAGAAATATTTGTAAGAATGTTTCGACTTGAATTTTAAAATTCAAATCCAAAAATAATAATATATTAAAATAATATATTTTTATACGAAGAATTAACAAAAAAACAATGTACCTGAAATTTTACCAAGTCGCGGGATAGAAAAAAAAAATTTAAAAAAAAATCTTTTTATATGTTAAAACAATCTCTATAGACATAATTTGAAAGTTAAAAAGAAAAATATGACAACGTATTGATATTACGTAAACACATTAAAAGAATGTTTGAAATTATATTGTATCAAATGAAGTCCCAATTCATTAATTAAGGTATCATTTATTGAAGAATTGAGTTAACAGCTATCTATCTCTAATACAAAGAAAAAACATGGAAACTTCTTCCCATCATGATCTCAAATGAATCAGATTTTTTATGAACTTCCAGACACATTGTATATTAACAAGATAAACATTGCCTTCATAATGATTTTAGTTTGCTAAAATACTTGTTAAGCATTTAATGGAAGAATAATGAGTTTATCTCATTGGAGTATTATTATGTTTAACAAAGATAAGCACAGTAAAAAAAATGTAGCCACTAGTTTTTTTATGTTCTATGAGAAGTGGTTGGAGAAGACAAATTCGAATATTCCAATAACGGGAACTTGGATAGCGACAGAGACCCTGTGTAGAGTTGATGCCACGGTTTCCCTCTATAAATTCATGGCTACTCTCTGTTTGTTGCTATGAGAAAACCGATCAAGAATGGGTGTTAACTCCAACAGAGTTGAGCACTTAGCATGTTGCAGCATGAAGATCCAAAGCGAGATACAAATGGCAATGCCAGCCTTGGAAATACACAAGGTTCAGTTGCCACCAGAACGCACCACCTTGCAGAAACTCAGACACAGACTCTCTGAGATCTTCTTCCCAGATGACCCTCTTCACAAATTCAAGAACCAAACTTGCTTCATGAAGCTCCTCCTTACTCTCCAATACCTGTTCCCCATCTTCCAATGGGCTCCCCTCTACAACCTTTCCCTTCTCCGCTCTGACATCATCTCCGGTCTCACCATTGCTAGCCTCGCCATTCCTCAGGTCTCACTCTTTTCATCCTTTCAGTGTTGAAAGTTTTTACATAACTCATCACCGAGTTTTAAAGACTAAAAACTCTAGTTACATGTCACATAGAGATTAGTGGAGACCATTGTTCGAGTTAAGTGTCTCAGACAAACAATCTTCACGTAACATGTAACCGAGTTTTATTCAATTTTGTCTTGAAAATTGAAAACTTCGTTGAGTGTCATGTGAAACTTATCTGAGATCATGGATAAGTGGTTGTTTTGGATTCTGTAATGATTAATACTTAGTACGCACACGTGCATGTTTCATAGAAGTATGTTTAAAAATTTGATTTTTTTTTTATTATGCAGGGAATCAGCTATGCTAAGCTAGCAAACTTGCCACCCATTCTTGGATTATGTTAGTACCATTTTGTTTGTGCATGTGATAGAGTTCTTGTGGTAGTAGATGTGTATGATGAATGATGATGTGTGAGTAACGCTTCAAGTGGTGTGAATATTGTGCAGATTCCAGCTTTGTGCCTCCCTTGATATATTCTCTTCTAGGGAGCTCTAGACATCTTGGTGTTGGTCCAGTTTCAATAGCATCTCTGGTCATGGGATCAATGTTAAGTGAGACGGTTTCTTATAGTCAAGATCCAACTCTCTATCTCAAAATGGCTTTCACTGCCACTTTTTTTGCTGGTTTGTTCCAATCTTCTCTGGGTATATTAAGGTATTAAATCATGGTTTAATTTTTTATTGTGCATTTTTTCAATAAAATTCAAATATAGAAACTTGAAGGCTATATAGCCTATATTTTATTGGTATTTGGGTAGTAAGGTTTTATGACTGATAATAGCCTTTGATGATCCATACAGGTTAGGCTTTGTAATTGATTTTCTCTCAAAGGCAACGCTGGTGGGTTTCATGGCCGGTGCAGCGATTATTGTGTCACTGCAGCAGCTCAAAGGGTTGCTTGGAATAGTTCATTTCACCAACAAGATGCAAATAACACCTGTACTCATCTCTGTTTTCAAGCAAAGAGACGAGGTATAGTTTGATATTGATACTTTATTCTAGTTGTACTCTGATTTTGTAATATTATATGTTAAAACTGAGATATTGTTTTTCTTAAAGGACGGCCACAATTTTTTTTAGATATATATTATAGTTACTGTTTTGCATATTTAAATGGTTGGAAGAGTAAAAGCAACTATAAAAACAATGTAAAATAAAATCCCCACCGTTTAACATTCTGATAGCATTGATTCTGTTTTAAGAAATAAGAATTGACACTATCATTGAATTTAGATTGGTAATTGAAAAGCAGTTATTCGTATATAAATATTCTCTTCTTTGACTTTTATTTTAAGGGATTAGATTCCGACTATTCGTCAAAATAAACTTTTTCCCTTCTAATTATATCATGAAAGGAAATTAGTAATTAAGGGTCAATTCTAAATGAAAATAAATATTTCATATGTGTCCTAGTTATACAAAAATATAAGTGTAATTACGTTTATGCTCACTAAATTTTTTGAGCAACTTGAGCAGTGGTCATGGCAAAACCTTCTGCTGGGATTCAGTTTCCTACTGCTTCTGTTGACAACAAGGCACATTGTAAGATTCTATATTTGTTGAATACACGTTACAACTCTTTGCTCTAAGACAATTCATCTATTTCTTGAGATCTGAAAATTCTTAATGATTGCAACAGAGCTTGAAGAAGCCAAAATTATTCTGGGTTTCGGCAGCTGCCCCGTTGACATCAGTCATTCTGTCAACCATTTTAGTTTTTATTCTGAGAAATAAGGCCCATAAAATTGCCATTGTAAGAGAGGACACTTTCCCTCTTAATTTTTTTAAAAGCACACTAGAGATGCCCAAATATTAATTTCTTACCTAAATAATGCTTATCCTTTTCTCTGTCAGATTGGTGAATTGCCAAAGGGACTTAATCCACCATCATCAAACATGTTATACTTCAATGGTCCTTATTTGGCTCTTGCTCTCAAAACAGGACTTGTGACTGGGATCCTCTCTCTCACTGTAAGTTGTCCCAAACTGAGAAACATAATGGCCACAGAAAATATTACTAAAATTACATGTTGTAAATAACAAGGTCCCCTCCTTAGGCATACCCTAAAAGCATGCATACACGCACACACACTACAATACACCATATAACTCAACTGCACTTCTGTTTCAGGAAGGAATTGCAGTGGGAAGAACATTTGCTGCACTGAAGAACTACCAGGTGGATGGAAACAAAGAAATGATGGCCATTGGTCTTATGAACATAGCTGGCTCTTGTTCTTCATGCTACGTCACAACAGGTAGTGATTCTTCTCTCATTTGACCACGTGACTGACAACTTACTAGTAGTTAAGTTATTGAAGATATGGAAGTTTTGAGAAAATGTCCATTTTGACATTAAAATAAACTTGCAGGGTCATTTTCCCGATCAGCTGTAAACTTCAATGCTGGGGCCCAGACAGCAGTATCAAATATAATCATGGCATCAGCAGTTCTTGTGACCCTTTTGTTTCTGATGCCACTCTTCTATTACACACCGAATGTTGTCTTAGCAGCCATTATCATCACTGCTGTTGTAGGGCTAATAGATTATCAAGCTGCATATAAATTGTGGAAGGTTGACAAGCTCGATTTCTTGGCCTGCTTGTGCTCCTTTTTCGGTGTTCTGTTCATTTCAGTGCCACTAGGCCTTGGAATAGCGGTAAGCTAGGAATAATTTAATCTGTTTCCTGCTATTAGAAACCTAAAATACATTTTATGTTGATGCTCTGTGATATTACTGACTTGGCCAAAATCTTCAGGTGGGAATATCAGTCTTCAAGATCTTGCTTCATGTCTCTAGGCCAAACACACTGGTTTTGGGGAATATTCCGGGGACACCAATATTCCACAACCTAAACCAATATAGAGAAGCTTTGAGGATTCCTTCATTTATCATTTTGGCTGTTGAGTCTCCTATCTACTTTGCTAATTCAACGTACCTGCAAGAAAGGTTAGATAAAGCGACTTGTAAATTTTAAATGTATAGAACATTTCAAAGATATTTTAGAGGCAAGTTCTAAGTGATTCTGAGATTCCAAACACTTGAGAGCTTTTCCTGCTATAGGATACTGAGATGGGTTCGAGAAGAGGAAGAGCGGGTAAAAGCAAACAATGAAAGTACATTGAAATGTATAATTTTGGACATGACAGGTATGCAGTTCATTTGACTAAAAGTTTTGCTATTCAAGTTTTGAGATACTTTTGACTGAAAAAATTTTCTTATTTTCTTTCCCCAGCTGTTACAGCTATAGACACAAGTGGAATCGATATTCTATGTGAACTTAGAAAGGTGCTGGACAAAAGATCACTTCAGGTATAGATACTAATTGTAACATTTCAGAAGGCATAATAAAGACTTCTGTGACTTTTATTTCAAATACTTATATTCATAATTGGATGGTGCAGCTTGTCTTGGCAAATCCTGTTGGAAATGTGATGGAAAAATTGCATCAGTCAAATATTCTGGATTCCTTTGGGTTGAAAGGAGTCTATCTCACAGTTGGAGAAGCTGTGGCTGACATTTCATCCACCTGGAAAGCTCAACCTTGAATTCCTAGATGAATTTCAGAAGACGGTCTACTTTGTTCTGGCAGAAACCTTGACAAACCAAGGCTTTTGCCCTTTCAGAAGAGCGTTTCTTATCCCAGGATATTACTTCTATGTTTTAATCTAGTTTTGTCCATTTTTGGCTTTTGTAAGAGAGAGAGAGAGAGAGCATCCAAGCAAAAAATATTGGGATGACTTTATTCCGTGGACATTGATAAATGAGAGATATTTTGAGAGGAAAGAAAGAATCAAAGACGCGCGTTCCAGTCTTCTACTTTTTTCTGATATATATGTCTATATTCTTTTTCTTTTTCCTTTAACACAAATATTATGTTTTCCCAATTTGAAAAAATTAAAAGGCTTCGCACTAACAAAAGGGAAAGCGATGGTTAGCGGAGCAGAGCTTCCAATGCCTACTACGTACAAATCAAGTAATTCGCCTTGTAGCTTAATTTGACAAGCTTCATTACCATGAAAAGGGATGATTTCATAGTGATTTAAATCTCATTCCTTTTATAAGGAACTACATGGACAATATAAAATTAGCAATTAATCTATGTAGAGGAAGATCACCCCAAAATGTGCAAATTTATCAATATATGAAGTTAACAAAAAAAAAAAAAAAAGGTAAACAACATTTGACCAAGAGGTTCAATCTGCTGCCTGATATAACAACCTCAATAAAAGTGGACCGAAAGAAGTAACATATAATTCCAAGAATGTAAACAGAACCGAAAACTCACAAAAAGGGTAAAAAAGAATAGAAACTCTATCAACTAATGCATCACCTTAACCAACAACACTAAAGGGCGAGAAATCAAAATAGAATATAAATAAATTACAATAAGACTTCCAGTAATTCCTGAAAATTATGTACCTAATCTCGTCTGGTTATATATGTTTCAATTCTATTGCAACTAAAGAATAAAAAGGAAATGTAGGTCTTTCAATGGCAGAATAGAACTATTCACTTCTTGGGCTTTATGTCGTAGATCATCCAATATATAGAAGCAAAAGTGGTGGTTACCATCCTGCAGCACTTCTTTCTTGAATGCAAAATGTACTTCAGCCAATCAAACATCTGCAAGAAATTCGACATCGACAGTATTAAACCACAGCAATAATCACCCAACATTAACAGACTGCTAACTAACACATCATTATCTATAAATTATAACTACTTAGGTAAACCATTATTTATTTCCTACTATACTATACAATTCTTTATCTCTCTTTTATTTTATGTTTACTCTTTAAAAGTATAGAGAGGTATGGAGTGTCTTTGTTTCCCTAGTCTATGATAATAATCTTATTCTATATTAACGAGAATACCCTCATTTGGTAAGTTTGTTAGACTACTTTACCGTTCAACTGCACCCCAAAACATCTACTACTCCTTTTCAGACTCCCACATCAATTAAACATATTAAACTGATAAAAGAAATTAAATGTAATAATTTATGCAAAAAATAAAAATCGGACAGATGTCTTTCTCCAGTGTCAACATAATGAAAATACCTAGTCTTCGAGTGGTGCTTATTCAAAAGACTGCAAGTTTTAAGAGTTTGCAATAGGACTGTCACCCACACTCCAACATTCAATTGGAGTATGGATATACTCCTAGTAAAATATAAAAAAATAATATTACTTTTTATAATATAATAGACCCTATATTTATTAAATATTAAAATAAATGGACTACTATTTAGCCAGAAGAGATCATATGATCTATGTAGCTGACCTCACCCAATAGTATAAAGCATTTGTTATTGTTGTATGGGCTCCTCTTCACATGTCTGACTCTTTTCCGGTGATTCCCTCTACACTGAAACCCACAACGTACACTTCTTTCTTTAACCTCTACTTCAGTATCATAGTGTCATGTCCAAACCCACCTTTCTCTACTCTTATTGGTGAAAAATCCACACAAATCACTCATTATTATTAGTTGAATTAGAGTTGAATGTGTGGTTTGTACCCATTTGTTGTTTTGTGAACTTGATCTCAGATTTTAGTTAAAGATGTGTTTATTCAGTTTGTTGTTGGATTTTGGATTGGCATCACAGTTTGGGTTTGCTTCCGTGCTTCTCACTGCCTCCACTATTTGGTGCTGAGCTGGGTAGAGAACAACGACAACTAGATGGATGGGTTTCAATTTGGTAGTTTGATGCTTGAGGAGGTGAAGTAGTAGTCAACAACAGGGTCTGAATCGAAGGTGTTGGGTTTCAGGAAGGGAATGGAAACTTGTTGCATGGAGGTTAGCACTTGTTTGGGCCTAGACCTAGATGGGAAACTCCAATAGCCTCAAGGTAGATGGTGGTGGTGTTGTGGCGGGGGAGGGGACTATGCCGGTGTGTTTCAGAGGGAGGTTCAAGGAAGAATCTTTCAATAATTTCAAAAATAATTCTGTTATGACCCTTTCTTTCATTACTAAAAGTACACATGTGGATCGTGAGCCAAAAGAGGCTGTAGCATTGTCCAGTGCAGAACAGGATGAAAAGGAAATGTAACAACAAAATATAAATTGGCAGTATTGGAAATTCTAGAATTTGGCATGTGGCATAAGGTGTCTCAGAAAAATAGAGCTCAATGCAGTTGTGGTTTGTTGATGTGTATCATATTATTCATCAAGGATGTTTCATCAATTTAAAATTCTAACCACCAGATTTAAATCTCAAACTTTCGATCTCAGCTTTAAATTATTGGAGTATGGATACTCTAATTCAACTTGGTATTGAAGAGAGCTGATTATTTTGGGAGGGGGGGCAAGTATCTTCCATAGGAGGTAATCCTCCTCAAACAATGATTAGCTACAAAATGTACTAGACTAGCCTCTTACACTAGACCCAACTCCAATTGTTTCTCAGAAGATAGGGAGCATACTGCTATCCACTGCTCTTCCTAGGTGTCCCCAGCTCTAGTCCCTAGATCATGTGAGCTACCAACAAAGAGAATAGTATAAAACTTAATGCAACATGATATGCAGACAGAAATGAGAAATTTAAAACTTAATGCATAGATTAACATAAATGTTCCAAGGGGGAAAAGGCAAGAAAAGAAAAGAAAAAAAAAAAAACAAAAGCCTACACAATGTACGTATAGAATATAAAGGCTTGCCTAATGTAAATCGAGTTTGACGACCTGAATATATATTCAGGTCACTGAAAATAAGTAAACACAATAAAAGAAAGATATGGTACAACATATAAAATATAACACAAGCAAACAAATCTTTAAATAGAATATGTCCAATTAGCCAGCTAAACATGCATGAAGGAGGAGGTTCTCACTTGAACGAAATCGTGTTAATGATATCTCCTGGCGTTCCCGCTTTATGCACAGTCGTTCACCTAGCAAGGACATCACTGCAACTCCAGAACCATTCACAACCCACCATGTTATAGAGGAGGGCCAACCCCCATACACAATGCATATAAAGAGATGGATAATGTAGAGTGTGGCTGAAAAATCCAAGCACTTCCTTGATCTTTCAATCAAATAAAACATATATACCGCCCTGCTTACAAACAACAGTGTCATAAGTACAATGCCTACAACATAATTTCTGCCAAAAAACACATAAAAGCCATAACCCGACAGCTAAGAATGCCTACTTTGTTTCAATCCTCCCAGCAAAAATAATCAAAGAACAAACTACACAGAATTTCTAAATCTAAACCAGTCAAATCCACTAGATTTAGAAAAACCAAATTATTTATTATTCTGTAACATGCAATCACGATCTAATTTACAAGATAAAACTCATTTTTTTAACATTTCAAAAGCATTCAAAGAATGAGAACTTAAAAAGTCCTAATTAAAGACACATTATCTCGAAGGTCCCAAGCTTAACTTTTTTGTTTCTTTTCCTACACAAGAATAGACCACAATCAATTGAATAAATAAATAAAGAACGCAACCTTGTAACCAGTAAAAATTACGATACATTATTGAGAAGTAGAGTCACAACTCACAATGAGTAATCAATCATAGGCCAACTATAGCAAATTCAAACACGTTATTTAAGGTGTAAAAGAACAATTACCCTGCAACTGAGCTGAGCAGAAATGAAGCAATAACACACCAACCAGTAACGGTAGAGGTAGTAATCGCAACAAAGTCAAAGAAATACACGAGACTCATCCGAGACACACGTGTGCCAACAAGTATCGACAAGAGCAACCCCAGGGTTATATAGTACAAACATTGAAGACACACAATTTGAGCAACAATAAGCCAAGGGTCCCATACCACAGTACCATAGAACATGACGCCGACCCGACAAACTCCCTCACAAAAACCTAGTCCTCCCGGAAAACTTCCTAAAAAATAATCCAAACCCAATTCTCAATCTTTCTCCACTATAAGCAACCCAGTTACCAAATCTCCGCAATTGAAGCCACACCACTCGTCATTCCACAAAAGGTACAGATTTTAGAAACCCTAGTTTCCTTAAAGCACTTCAAAACCCAAATCGAGGTTATCTAAATGCAAACGATGGTTCATGTGCACTCAGATCTGGATTCTGGAAGCGGAAACTGTTGACGGGGAAAATCGACTGAAAAATAAGATCAGCGTCAGAAAAACAAATCAACGTAAGTTCGTGATTGATATATCTTACGAAAAATTGAAGGAGGAGATTCCAACTTTCTAGTAACAGTGAGAGGAATAGAGAGAGTGTGAGGGGAAATTACAGATTGGGAGAACAAGCCAGAAATTGAGAAGGGAAGAACGAATTGTTCTGGAGAGAAAATTGGAGTGTTCTCTTACAGCGATGGCGAGAGATGGAAATTTTGGGAGAAGAATTACACAGAAATTCACTTAGCATGAAGTTGAAACTGGGAGGTGCCGTTTTGTTTTACTAATTTGTCGTTTTCGTGATAATAATAATAATAATAATAATAATAATAATAATAATAATAATAATAATAATAATAATAATAATAATAATAATAATAATAATAACAATAATAACGAAAATATTTACAGATTACAATACAGTTACGATTGTTTAAAAGTGTAAAATTATGAAAGTTTTGTCGGATAAGAGATTATTTTCGGCTTTTTAACCAAACAGGTTAAAAAAGTTTTTGTTTTATCGTAAGGGGTTAAAAAATATTAATTTTCCCAAAACGGGTAAAAACAAGGATAGAAAGACAATTTTATCCTTAAAATCATGGTTGGAGGCACGATTTTTAATAAAAGTGTGCTTCCAAACATAATTTTAGTTTTTTTTTTCAAACACGATTTTAAGTTGTTGTTTTTGTTAGAAAAGACTATTTTTTAAAATATATTATTTAATAAATAATTATTTTCAATTAAATTATTAATTTAATAAAAAATAAAAATATTTATATAAATATGATTAAATTTAATTTATTATATTTATATTAAAATATTACATGCATATACATTATCATAGAAAAAATTTATATTGAGATTTTGTCTTATAAGATGGTCTTCTTATTTGTTATCTTGGTCTACGTGATTGATCTTGAATAGACCTTTATTGTATTTGTATAATACGCGTACAACCCTCGTGATGATTAAGATTGAATGTTTATTTGTATATCATTATTTTCATTTGTATACTGCATAGGAAACATGTTGCGCATAATAGTCACGAAAGGTGTTTGATTGTATGCTGATAGTAATGTCATGAAAAAGGTGGAAAATATGTTTATTTTATATGGAAACGAAATAAATGTATGAGAAACTTGTCCTCCAAATTGAGATTGGGCAGGTAAATTTTGAAGTTGACCAACATATCCAAAATATGGATAAGGTTGTTGATCATTCGACTGACCAACACGTTGATGACTCGACTGACCTACATGTTAATGACTTGACTAACCAACATAGACATGACTAAGTTCGCCAATATACAGGGATTCTTCCTGTCGCTCTGTCTCGTATTGTTAACAAATAAAATTAATATTAGTTTGATATGAATGTTATATATATAAAATAAAATTATTAATATATTTACTTCTTCATCTCGAATCTTTTTCTTGGGTAGAGAAAATATACAATGCATGTGATGCACGACTTTCAATTATATTGGATTCCCATCATTAAATTAAGATTCATTGATTATTGAATTGCGTCATTCCCAAATTAGGCTTAATGTTATTGATTGCATATCGCCGAAAATAGTAGTAATTACATAAATAAATTGCACCATATATTACAATTCAGAATCATGGAAAATTAATAATTCCCAATTTTGAAACCCTACTTTCAAAATTTCCAAAATTATACATGAATCAAGTATAACCAGACTCTGATATCAGTTGTTAGGATCTAACGCTTATCACTTGGTCAAAAGCTATAGTCCTAATGGAAACTAAATACGGAAGTGTACCTGAAATAGTCATAATGGAATGATAAAAAAAAAAATGAAGATCAGGCTTGGTTTTTATGATCTTCCAAATGTAGAGAGTCTTAGTTCCTCTTAGGTTTCTCTCGTGATGGGGATGAAGAGAAAAAGCGTCATAAAAAAAATATTTTTATGAGTGTTAATTTCCCTTTACAAGTGGGGACCATAACTCATTGTATTGGTAACCTCCATTAGTTACCCCAAATTTGATAATTATAATTTGACCCCTCATTAAATTATAATATCACTAATGGTATCTACATAATTAACCTTTCGTATGACCCAAAATTACTAACACATATATGATATGGTATTTTCAAGCATGTTATCATATATATATATATATATATATATATATATATATATATATATATATATATATATATATATATATTTCCTCTACTCAAGAAGAAGATTCAGATGACGAAGTGTAAGTATATCAATAATTTTATTTTTTATATATAACATTGATATCAAAGTAATATTGATTTTTTTTAATAATACAGATAAGCAGGAACAACCCCAATATATTGGTCAACCTAGTTATGTCCATGTTCGTCAATTGAGTTATCAATATGTTCGTCAGTCGAGTCATCAACATGTTGGTCAGTCGAGTCATCAACAACTTTATCCATATTTTAAATATGTTGGTTAATTTCAAAATTTACCCGCTCAATTTCAATTTGGAGGACAAGTTGTTTATATATTTACTTTGTTTTCATCTAAAACAAATATGTTTTCCACCTCTTTTATCACAACACCGTCAACATACAATCAAACACTTTTCATGATAATTATGCCTAGTATGTCCCCTATACACTATGCAAATGAAGAGTATAATAGACAAGTAAACATTCTACCTCAACTATCACATGGTTGTAAACGTGCTATACAAGCACAACAAAGACCTACTCAAAACCAATCACATAGGCTCGAACAACAAATAAGAAGACTATTTTGTGGGACATGATCTCAACTTTAATTTTTTTTAACAATATATATATTTATATAATATTTTAATATATACTAAATTAAATTTAACCATGTGTCTTTAAATATTTTTATTTTTTATTAAATTAATAATTAAATCAAAATTAATTATTTAATAAATGATATATTTAAAAAAATATAAAAAATCCTAAGAAAAAAATATAGAACTAACAGCATGAGTTTAATACAAATTACTTTTCAACTCGTGCTATCAAGTAAATTTATATATATATATATATATATATATATATATATATATAAAATATTATACAACTAAAATTGTATTACATAGTTCCATTTGAAATTATGTTTTTAAGCTTGATTTAAAATTGTGTTTTTAAGCTCAATTTGACAAACTTACACATTATACTATTTAATCCATTTTAGTAAAATTAAAAAAAAATTATCCTATGATAAAATCAACATTTTTTTAACTGTCTTGTAAAAAAATAAAAATCACCTTCAAGAGTACATTTGCAAAATTTTGAATTTCACGTTTCGATACAATAAACAAATCAAATTTTAACGTACTTGACCGCATAGCGCAGCGGATTAGCGCGTTTGACTTCGGATCAAAAGGTCGTGGGTTCGATTCCCACTGTGGTCGTTTTATTTACATTTTTACGTATTCTATGTGGTCTAGGTTTTGTTGTCATGTTAACCAACAATAATTTTTAAAAAAATTTATTAAAATAAAATTTATATAAATTTATTTATCAAATAGATATGTTTACAGAGTTTTATTTCTCTTTTTTTATAATTTTTTTTCATTATTTTCATTTATTTCTCATCTTTTTTTTCTTCTATTTTCTCACTTATTCTCCTAATTAAACTATTCAAACTTAATAAAAATATATTAAAAAAAATATAAAAAAAAACATTAAAGCTAAAAAATGGTTAACAAAATATTTAAAATTATGATGATAAAAAATAATTTTATTTATTTTGATATTAAATACTTTTATTTATGATAACATAAATAAATAATTTTAAAATTATTTTATCATAATAAATTATTCATCTAATTAAAAAATATTAAATATTTATAATTTAAATATATTTTTATTTAATACTTTAATTTATATATATATATATAATTAAGTATTTATTAAAAAATATTTTAAAAAATATTTTTTTTCCTTAATAATTATAACATAACAATAATAATAATTATAACATCTCAAATTTATTATATAATATTTTTCTCATATAATATATTAAATTATAATATTATCATTTAAATATTTTTATTTTTTAATAATAATAAAAAATTTACATTATCAAATTTTAATATATTATTTATAATTGAAGAATAAGATAAAATGAGAAAAGAAAAAAAAAGAAAAAAAAAGAGATAGAAAAAATTAAAAATTAAATAAAAAGGGAGAAAATACTTATATTTTGTTAAATAATTTTATTTCTTCTTATAAAAATGTGTGTATAAATAATAACATGTATAATTAGATTTAAAAATTTTATTGAAGAAATTTATTTAAAATATATTTATCATCCAATTGCGTAGATGGATTGAGATTCACGTATAATAATATTATTATATTGGGGTCTCTAACAAAAAATTTTCACACACAAGATTGTCTATGAATTTATTTATTTATTTATTAAAACTTATATTCAATTATTGACGTGGTGTTAAAAATATTAAATATCATGATAAAAATTTCTAAATTTTTTTTCTTTTGATTTTTCTTTACATGTACAATCTTTTATTTTTTCACATATAATTATTTCACAAGCATTTTACAATTGTATAAGAATAAAAGCGTAGTATAAAAATATATTATTATTATATTATATAACCAAAGATTGTCAAAATATATTTTTCATTACACTATGTGCAAAGCATACTTTTTTGTTTTTCTGTGTAAATTTTTTTACTTCTTCTCTGCTAAATAAATTGGTAATCGCTTTTAGTCTACTAAAGAAAGATCAACTTAAAGAAAAAGGCACCAAAGGATAACTGGTAAGAGAAAGGGAGAATCCACCCCATATCAAATTGATACCTGTGGGGAAATCTAACTCCATTGTGATATTATTAAAAAACCAACATGAAAAAGCCGAAGAAAAGGCATGAAACATACAGTTATGAAGTCACGTAAGTTGTCGTGTTTTCTTCAAAACTCTTTTCGTGAAAATAAATGGATTTCGAATTACCTCCATAATAATAATTAAAACTGAAGTTACCAACCAATGGAGAGGGTTCTACCTACACCAAACATTCGAGGTGTCAATCACTATCAACCACCAAAATTTTCCTTTCCTAGGCCCAATGCATACTCAAATGCTTGTACAAAGGTATAGACACTAGAAGTTTGAGCATGAACTTGAGTGCAAACAAACAGCAAAAATTAAGCAGAGCCTGCGTTCTCAGATTTATCAGTCTGCATTGGTTCAGTAGACGCTGGTGCAGCTTGGCTTCTTCTATCCCCAGTATTTTCGTTATTGTTGGCATTAACATCTCCTCGGGGGTGTTGCTGCACTTCACCCTGTGAAGATGAGGCTCCCGATCCAGGTGTAGTTGGCTTGGTTGGCCTTGGTTTTGTCATAATTGGCTTGCAGAACCTGTTAGAATAAAAAAAAAAAATCGTTAGTAAGCAAAAATGAACACATAACACAGAAAAAAAGAAATATTTTAGATAACCCTTAAAAAAGTTCACTTGCGACGAATAATCCTTCCTCAACTCGACTAGTTTATAATTGCATTAAGTAATGACACAATAAGATAAAGTGTTTTTAATCCCTACAAAAATAATTATTAATTTGATATGACTGGGTACAATACCCGTTAGCACAAAAATGGTTATAAGACCGATTAATAAAAAGAATTTAAGAGAATCAAAATCAATAAAAAAAAGTGCAAAAATTATTAAAATCAAATTAAGTGGGAGGCTAAAAGTATACTAAAGCCAAATGACTAAAGCCAAATGACTAAAGCCAAATGATGCTTAAATAACCCAAATACTACAAATCCACTACAAGAATTTAAACGAATACCTATCAATAATCTCGGCTTTCCTTCTTATATCGGTTGACAAAAGTATCGGGTTGACATATTTTGGAAGTGAATTTTGTTGATGTTGCTTCTCCCTAAACCATTTCTCAGCTTCAACACATTCATTTATAACCTACAAACATTAAAAGGAAAATCAATTTCAAATTTATTTAAAAGGTAAATCAATTTCAAATTTATTCACAACCCTTCAAAGAAACAAGGGAAGGACATTTGAGAAGTCATTACCTTCTGTTTCTCATTAATGTCAATGTGATCAAATTTGGGATCATTCAATTTTGCGGCTTCTCTATAACTATTTATACAATATACGAATTGTTCAATTATAGTACCCCTCTCCATGTATTCTTTGTAACGTCCTTCAATTGGATCACCTTGCTGCAATCACATAAATAAACATCCATTAAGATGGCTTATGTTAAAACTAACAAGGAAATACCGCCACAGTTTATGTTTGTGCATAAATAACGTAAAGGGTAACAATAACAGGAGCTCTAATTCCTTTTCTTTGTGTAACTTTAGTTTGACCGAGGAATGGGAGTAAGGATTCTTATCCACCCAACTTCCTACCTTTTTTAGTTCTTCAAGCTTAGCAATATATACACCTTTAGCTTCATCTTCACCCTCATCATAAAGCCAATCCTCCACTTCCTGGAGTTTGGCAGTAAAATCTTCTCTCTCTGAAGCAGTGACAAACTCTTGGTATTTGTCATTAAGCTGAAATGATATTAGAAATAAACAATTTGGTGATATATAGTTTTAGTTTATATCATACAATGAGTAAGAGAAGAAAAAAGATTACACACACCTTGTTTCTCATCTCATAAACATAAGCCTCAACCGCATTTTTTTTGTCCTTGGTTTCCTCCATCACACGATCTTGCAAAGTCATTTCAAACTCCTTCTCTATTGCTTTTTGGACATCCGAAGAGACCATTGCTCCATAAACTAACTCTGTTACAGCAATGCTAGTTTTCTTAACTTTTTTCTTTGGAGCCTGAGCCTACAACATTAAAAGTTCAGTCAGCCCAAAGTTTTAGTTGAGACCCACAAAACCAGCAAGCATAGTACAAAATACGAATGCATTGTTGTACATGACTGACAATGCATCCATGGAAAACACGATGTTTTTACATTAAGGGAAAATTTATCTTGATTTATTGATTATACAAATAATTACATAAACTGAAGTGTCTCACTTTGTTTTCATTTTTCAAATATTTGTATGATGGTAAAAAAAATGTTTTCGCTATCTCTCATACAACAAATCTTTATAAACAAATAAAAAAAGAGTGTTCTTTTTTTAATTAAAAATAAAAAGAAGAAAAATAGAAAATGTTTTCTCAAGTCAACAAGCCCTAAGATTTACATATAACCTGAAGTGAGAAATCAAGCAAGTTAAATAAACAAAATATGATAAAAACACAGGAAATTCCACATTAAAATTCAATAAGTGTCGTTTTCGAAATCAATTCTATAAATAATTTATTTATGTGAGTATATCTATTTAAGGTTCATATGTAATTTTTTTTTCTTCTCTTCATAATTTTTTTTTCTTTCTTCATTTATTCCTTGATTCTCTTTTGTATCCCACGTTTCTTACTTTTCTCTCCCCTTCCACTTACTCTTTAATTAAAACTATTCGAAATTTAATCAAACTAGTGTTAATATAAATTTTTTAAAATCAATATTAAAACTAAAAAAAATCAACTAATTATTTAAAATTATGATGATAGTAAATAATTGTATTTATTACGACAATATATAATTTAATTTATGATAGCATAAATAATTAATTTTAAATTATTTTATTATAATAAATAAATTATTATTCTAATGAAAAATATCAAATATTTATGAGTTAAATACATCTTTTATTTAGTAATTTAATCTAGTTATAATTAAGTTAAGTTGTGAATTGGATAATTGTAAAAAAAATATTTATTAAAAATTTACTTTAAAAAGAATATTTAATTTTTTTCTTAATAATTATAACATAACATTTTATAATACCTCAAATTTATAATATAATATTTTTTAAATATAATATTTTTAGATAATTTAAATATTTTTATATTTTAAAGATAATAAAATACCATTTATCTAATTTTAATTTAGTATTTTTAATTAAAAAAATAAGAGGAGTAGAAGGAGGAGAGAGGGAGAAAAACGAAAACAAACATTAAGATAAGAAAAACAAAATATAACAATAACTAAATGAAAAGAGAAAAAATAAAACAAAATTAAGAAAGAGAGGAAAATAATTATATTATATCATAAGAAATTATTTTCCATTATTAAATGATGTATATGAACAATAAACAAGTTTACTTGGATAAATATTTAATCACATTCTAAGTAACTTTTTGTTTTAAATATATTAATTAAGAACTTGATTCTCATTTGTGAAATTCTTCTGAAAACTAGTTTTTATTTTTCCACAATGTTTAAACTACTTAAACTACAGCAATGTCATATTTATTACCATGACACCATGTAATAATAGAAAAAAAAAAAATCAAACAATAACAGACTCGAAATAAAATAAACAAATATTCCTAAAAAGTCGACCATTGATG